ATTAGTATTATTATATTATTATTATTATTATTATTATTATATTATTATTATTATTATTATTATTATTATTATTCTTGTATTATGACCTCCATACAACAATGGCTCTTCCGGTCACACAGTAATGATCATAAAGTGCTAAAGTGACAAGCACACATAACATCGCATCTTCATGGCGGCAAAGTTCATGAGGAGCACAATAAACACAAAGTAATCCTAAACCACTTTTTCTCAGTAACTACATATGACAGTACAGGTGACTAGTTTCAGAGTCACTGAGCCACGACCGCGCTCGTTTTCGGCATCCAGCTGAGGTCCTAGCACCCCTGACCTGCGCTGGAGCCCTGTTCCAGTGAGACACAGCGCGGGAATCAAAGAAACGTCGGTTCAGCTAAGTTCAGGTCAACCAGTAGCAGTTTTGCCGGGTATTCTTAGTAGGTGTTAACAGCCTCTGACAGCTTCGTAACATGTTACGAAGGCACCATTACATAGGCATAATGTTAAAATTATGCCTAAATGGGATGGGCAATTGCCCTAATTACCCTCCTCTGAATCCGCCACTTAGAACGAGCACCCATAAACTTAACTTCTAACGGCCTCAATCCCTTCATCCCCCACCTACAGCGCCACAGCTGCTGGCGTGTCAGTGTCATCCCAACGTCACCATTATCGCTGTTCATATCCCCGGAACCTGTCTCCATGGCAACTAAGGCGTACGGTCGCCCTGTGCTCCAGCGCCGCTACCGGCACACGGGAGACTTACATTCATGTCAGGGACGTGTGTTTCAGTTATGTAACATGTTCGGGGACGGCCAGGACCCCACACACGACAGACGGCGTGGGCTGTGAGAGGGGGGCTTCAGGTGCTGTGAGATGACAAGTGAGTTTTTACGAGCGAGCGAGCGCAGCGAGCGAGCGAGTTCATACTGAATTAAGGGAAAATCCTGAGTATGAGCGGCCGGCCGGCCGGCCGTGGGGACGCTCTTCAAAAGCTAATACGAGTATCTTAGGAACGGGACATCCGATTGACAAGCGGTCTTCTTTACTGAATGTCACTTGGACGTAAAAGTTCTGTGGTGTGATGGCCACCATGCGTTCTTGCCAATCACCGCACGTGACGCGTGGTAAAGTTGGACATTTTTTAACCCGCGAGTTGCTGGGCGGGGGGGGGGGGGCGTTAAACGCCCCCACTTTTTTCGCCGGGCCATAGCATAAACACGGCGCGAATTGATTAAAGTTTATTGTGACAAAGTTTCAAAAAAATCGGTCGGAAAATTTTTGAGATATCGAGGTTTTAGTGACGTCATGAATTCTGAGTTTTCGACCAAAAACGGCATATGTTCAAAAAATCATATAAAATCACAGAATAAACATACAGACATGCCGTAAACGCCATTAGACTGCCAATACCATGAACAATTAAACGGCTATCTTCGATTATTGATTATCGTTCCGCATTTTCCAAAAACTTGAACTGAATCTTGGCAATTTCTCGTGACTACTTCACGACCATGATACATGTATTTCTTAAATTGAACTTTTTTAGCCAAACACGTACACATATGATAAAATGAATGCCACCATCGTGTTCTCCGCCCCAAATTACCCATAAAACATGTGTCACAGGCTGCGAATATCAGTTTTGATTTTCGGGGATATGTGCCTGCCCGGTTGACCTGACCTTGACCCTGACCTATGCTTGACTGACCCCTACATGGAGCTGACACTCTTGTATGCCTTATTTGATGGATTGTGCACCGTTTTGACAGAGTTTATGACGAGAGGCGCCCATTGCGAAGTCTTGAAGTCCATGCTACTGAAAGCCCGATTTCAGGTGTTTGACCTGACCTTGACCCGACCTGTGACCTCAAAATTCAATTTTAAAGTACTCGTCTGAAGCGTCTCGTCGCGTTCTTTCGTTTGCCGCCTCGTGCGTTTCGCTGCGCCTATTGATTCTCGAGTTATCGGCTGGGGGCGTTTAAAGCCCCCCCCCCCCCCAGCAAACGGTGGGTGTCGAAATACCCCAGCAACTGCCGGGTTAAGAACCCCCAAAATTGCAACCTCAATAACGGCACAACGGTTGGGCCGATTGAATTGAAACTCGGTACACAGTTAGGTCTCCATCAGATTATTCATCTGCAAACCTTCGCCCCAGTGAGGGGGGGGGGGGCATAATATGTTACCACCCTGTCGCGTTTTTTTTTCGTATAAATAAAAAACCGCGGCGCGTAGCGCCGCGCCGCTCGGGGTAGCTTTTGGTACATCAATTTTGGACAATGTGTGTAATTTTCGACCCCAGGTCATATCAGGTCAGGTCACCAGGTCAAGTTAACTGACCAAGCCTAAAAAAGTTTGCAATCATGTCCAGCCTGCAGTGTTTGTCAGAGAGGTTTTAAACTTGGTGGATTACATGATGTTATGGGTGCCTACAATTTGTATATCTCGGATTTTTTATATGCGTGACCTAAGGTCAGGTCGGTGGCGTGACCTTTCCATTATAAGTCAACGGAGAAAAACGAAAATGCCTCTAGATCCGTGTGTACGCATAGGAACAGACCAAATATTTCAGGATAACAATGATTTGGACCACCCGTGACGAACAAGGTGTCTTTTTTGCTGATAGCCTCTTGAAAGGTCATCCGAGGTCATTTGAGGCTACAAACAGTTTTTTGTCAATAACTCTCGATTGGAAAAAGATAGAACGCTGGGGTTGGCCTCATTGTGTTTGTCTTGCCGAGACGCATCGACTGATATGCAACATGACCTTTTCCGGTCAGGTCATGACCTTGACCTGAGGTCAAATTTTGAAGTTGACCTTTCAAGGTCAAATTATAGTTCATTCGACGCGTCTCGGCGAGAGGAACACGATTCTGGCATTAGAATTGACCTAGCTTTTTTAAGTCAAAAGTTATTGTCGAAAAACACTTTTCTTAAAAACAGCTATTTTTGGAGTTTTTGCCCTCTGGAGGCTAAACTGTTGACCTGAGGTCATTTTTTATGATGACCTTATCAAAAGAAGAGTACAAAAGCTATCGATTGCTTTTCCCAGCGTTATTCTTGCTATCATAGTTCCTGAGATAATGGCATGTTTTCTGAAAAATACAATGACAATTCGCAAATTTTGACCTTTGATGACCTCTGGTGACCCCAATATTGCTCTAAGATGAAAAATGACCGAAATACTTTCAAACGCACGCATCAAGAGCTATCGACTGCTTTTTACCGCGTCTTTCTAGCCCTCTTAGTTTTTGAGTTAGAGGTGGGTGGTAACATATGCCCCCCCCCCCACTAGGGCGAAGTTGGCGGAGACCGCCACTGGGGCGCGGGTTAAGGTTGGGGTGCTACAGCACATGCGCACGTGCAGGGGGCGCTCCCAGATCTCGAGAACGGCTGGGCCGGTTGCGCTCAAATTTGGTACACGGTTTGGGACCAGTTAGTAGGGTGCCGTGCATAAGTCAGTTTGGACCCCGTTTGCACGTGGGCACGTGCAGAATGCCGCTTCCAGATCTCAGGAACGACCGGGCCGATTGCGTTCAAATTTGGCACACCGCTAGCGGCCGGTTAGAAGGGTGCTTTGCACAAGCCCCGTTGGAGGTACCCTCTCGCCCTTCCGCACGTGCAGGGCTCACTATCTCGCTCGCTCGTTCTTCGCCCAAAAGGCATTTTACTGGTGTTACAGTTTTTCTATTTAGGAGAGGCGTTTTACCTTGAAGTTTACCCTGATCCACGAATGAATATGTTCATTGCTTTGCAAGGGCGCGGGAACTACTTTCAGACTGGGGGGCACACCATAATAGAGATCGACCTAGGATACCCCCAAATCTAGTTTTCGCACCGGTTTTAGGCCACTTGTTTTTCATTCCTTGGCTTAAAAAACATTTGCAAAGAAGTGCGGTATTACGTCTAAAGTTGTGGGGGTACCGCCCCCAAGGCCCCAGAGTTGGGGGGGGGGAAGCTGCCCCCACTGCCCCCCCCCCCGGTTCCCGCGCCTATGCTGTTTTGTTTGTTACACAAATAAAATAGGCATACTGAACAGAAATGAATTGAGGTGGTCAACGGTAAGAGGCTGGAAGATTTTGTTTTATACATAGGCTTTGACGGAATTGACAGGTTCAATTTGTTGTGAAGAGCTTGTTGGGCCGACCGTAGCAACTGCAATCAAAACGGGAAATTGCGGGAGGATAACTCTTGGGATAATTTACGGAATGCATAAGAAGCCGGAGTGTGGCGATTCCACACTTTAACAGTCCACACCACTTCCATCAACTGGCGTATTCCACAAACAAGCCACAGATGACAGACCATCCCCGGACCCCGAAAGTCTTCTTTATTGACAGACGACACAACGATGCAAAAGTCGGGCTGTCGTTATTCGGATTCAGATGCTCTACCAGCTGAGCTACTGAGCATAAAACTTAGGTACAAGATAGGATTCACAAAAGATCACCAACATTTACTTCTATATTGTCTGAATTGTAAAGGATACAGCAATCGCACGATTCGTGTTTACTATCTATTTCCAATTAGCTTTGAAACATGCTACATTGATATGTGCTTCGTGTTAGTGTGTTTAAACCTTGAAGAATTGTGACGGGATAAATATATAATGATTAGCCGCCCAATAAACATCAGTCCTTCGACCCGATTCATCGATTACGAACAACGAAGCTTCATCTACATTCATATACTTCATATAAGTTAATCCCGAGGAGCAACATGTCTCCGGAAGTCACCATAACCCGTCTCAAAGTCCCATCTTTATAAAATGCAAAGCAGAATTTAATAGCAAACTCTACACAGCTCCATGAAAAAATGCCAAAACACATGGACATGTTTGTACAAAAGTGTGTATTGCGAGGTTTTCTCCAGTCTATTCACTGAGTCAATTCGCGTCACCTGGGAAACTTACACCACGCGGTTAGACGAAGAACTGCTAGTTCTGGTCTATCGTAGCGCCGCAGATGGCGGTCGGGTAGCCCCCTGAGATCCAACTCTCCGGGCCAACTTTCACACAAACCTTGATGTACAAAATAAATACAGACACTCACTTCCAACCCTTGTCTTTCCTGTCTTCACAGTCTTTGGAAGAAAGCCCGTAGGACCGTGAGACGGTTAGAGCCTCTGTACATCGGCACCTCGTAAGACAGCACGCATACTAAACAGCCTGTGATCAGGAGTATTCTAACTTACGTGAATGCAAATGAACGATTCATAGCACAAGTTCAAAGCAAGTGCAGTCAGTAGGTGTAAACAGCACACAGTATGAGAGCAACAAAAAATGAAACGAATGAATGACACCAGGCCATCAGCGTAAATAGAGAACACAAAACAGGCGTGTAAGAAAGTCACATGCACGATGTCTTTTCTTTGATCGTTGCAAACCAGACCCACGGGCGCTTCCCGTTCGAACGTTCATCTATGAGAAAGACGTTAGGAACTAAAAGAGCGGTCAGATAACGCCATGCAGCTCTTGGCCCTTCATCTACGCTCCAATTAAGATCGGTGTCTGAGTTCTGCGACAGAATCAGTGAAGCAGTTAGCTACATTATCAGTGGCAAAGTCAGTAACGTAGCGAATGGCACAGTCATTGACGCAGTATGACCGATGCACTTTAGAGAGTCGCCAAGCACTGTTAGTGGACCTTTCCAGCCCTCTGCCAGCACTGAGTCTAGCAGTGCTAGCAGTGCTAGCACCGCTCCGCTGTCTGTGCCCTCTGGGGGACACCATTGTCCCCTGAGGGACCCCTGGTCAGGGTGTCGGGCTCCGAGTGTTCCGGTACGCTGTGAAACAGAGGGAGGGTTATAGTTAGAAAGCGAACGCTGAAACGGCCGTTAGATGGTAAGCACACCGGGTACAGAACATTAATTGAATCACATCACACTGCTACCTGATGGATAAAGTTAATGAGCCAACTTTTGTGCTTGAACTAGCAAGTAAGAGCACAAAATGAGAAACAGCATCGACATCAGCAAGAAGTTGACGAAAATGAGTGTCCAATCTTAACTGCTATAGTCTGGCAAAACTAAGAAAGAACGAATTAAAGCGCAACAGTTATTGACGAACGGCTCTCGCGAGATTAAGCGGTAGGTTTTGCACTTTTATATTTCCGGTTATATCTCAGAAACTAATCGATCTACGACGAAGCCATTTTACATGCTCATGGCCGGCTTGTGAACCGACAAGTCGATCGCATCTTCAACACTTAAAAGCTTAAGGCGACGAAGATATAGCCTACAGTATATTAAATTTTATAGGTGCAAAACCTACCGCTAAAACCCGCGAGACATGTACGTGTCTGTGTACATAACTTTCTATACGTCCGAGAACACTTCTATGAAAACTTAAAGCACGGATAGGCAAGGTACAAAGCACATCTACTGATTGTATAGGTATTTGACAGTTTTAGTAGTATCGAGTTTGCGGTCTGATTCTCATCAATAAAAAACACGTGTGGTATGAAATTAAAAAAGTTCTGCTGACGCTCAACAACCTGGCTTTACCAGTCGTTTATAAATGATCTGGTATTTTGCCGTCCTGCAGCCGTTTGGAATGTCAACAAATCGAGAGCAGGCCGCCCACGGAGCCACCCTTCTGCATGCCAGGGCCGAACGTTAAACAACACATACCGGGGGGCCAAAGAGAGGTGTTCTCCGACTGGGTCCAGCCGCCGGTCGGCAGTTAGCTCCCCGGCTCGGAGGCGGACGGTGCACCCCAGCCCACCTACTGCCGGGCTGTCCAGTGCAGCATGGCCGTCCGACCCCTCGGCAGCTCCGTCTGCCTGCTGGCGCTGCTCTGCGCCGTCCTCCCGTGCGCGCTAGCCGACGACGCCGGTGCTGGCACCAACGACGCGCTGGATGATCTGCTGGCGCTCGTCAACAGCGCGGTGAGAGAGGCCGTGGACCCCATCTCCGCCGAGCTCCGCAGCCATCGCGGGCTGCTGAACGACATCTTGGGCAGGCTGAGCAGCCAGGACGCCCGCACTGACCAGCTGAGCTTGCGCCTGGACCAGCTCAACGTAAGGCTGGATCAAGTCAATTCGCAATCTTTCTCTCAGCTGGACTCTTTGCGGACTGCCCTTAGTGCTCGGCTTGATTCTATCCAGGAGGTCTTAGAGTCGCAAAATTTGTCCGTGAATACCCGGCTTGATTCCATGCAAGACGCTATGGAGTCTCAAAATCTGTCAGTCAATGCTCGGCTTACTTCCATGCAAGACGCTATGGAGTCTCAAAATTTGGCCGTCGATGCTCGGCTTCATTCTATTCAGAACGCTTTGCAGACTAAACCTCAGACCGCCATTACCCGGCTCGATTCCATGCAAGATGCTCTGGAGTCTCAATTTCTGTCTGTCAATGCCCGGCTCGATTCTACTCAGAAGACATTGGAATCTCAGCTTCAGCCAGTCACGTCTCAACTCGACTCAATGCAGGCGGAGCTCGGCTCTCAGCTGACTTCGTCCAACAGCAGTCTCAGACATCTGCAGTCTGAGCTCGACACTGCGCTGGACTCGGTTACCACTCGGCTGGACTCGTTTGGCACACGACTGGAAGAGCTGGCAGAGATACAGCAGAACGCGACCACCGGGCCACGAGACTGCAGCGAACTGCCAAGCGGTTACCCCAGCGGGGTTTACGCTCTGCATCCCGGCTGGGGCCGCTCGAGCCCGGTGGAGGTATTCTGCGATATGGAAACGGACGGTGGCGGTTGGACCGTGTTTCAGCGACGTGAAGACATTCTGCCCAGGGAGGACTTCTACCGCAACTGGACCGAGTATAAGTACGGATTCGGAGACCTCACAGGAGAGTTCTGGATGGGGCTAGAGAAGCTGTGGCTGCTCACTGGGAAGTCGGACAGGAGATACGAGTTGCGCGTCGATCTGGGAGATTTCGACGGAGAGAAGAGATACGCCAGGTATGAGAACTTCAGAATTTCATCAGAGTTGGACGGATATCGAGTAACAGGTGGGAGCTACACAGGAAATGCTGGAGACAGCATGGCATATCACTTCGGACAGAAGTTCTCGACCAGGGACAAGGACCAGGACAAGCACTTTAGTAATTGTGCGCGAGACCGTGAGAGTGGCTGGTGGTTTAAAAGTTGCGATCAGGCAAACTTGAATGGAGTGTATCTGTCAGGAGAGGTTAAGGATGGCACAGGGAGAGGAGTAGCATGGGATTCATGGAGAGGTCAGCAATACTCCCTTAAAAGTGCTGAAATGAAAATTCGTCCATATGCTGCCAGGGTCGGGTAACTTTTGTGAACTTTTTTCCCCTTGGGGAGCGCCTGCATGCTTTATCTATCATCATTCATTTTGTCTTTCTGTAAATATTGTAGTTCTCGCCTACATATTACTTTATCACGAAGATGCTTGGACTCTTGCGGTAATCACGGAGTTTAGAACTTATAAAACAGCATGGATGTCACCTGGGTGTCGATTTGCGACGCAGAAAGCCACGGATCGTCTGTAGAAGGGTACTAATGTGCTAGTGTAGTTTCAAATGCGCCGGTGTATTATACAATTGCATTGGGAAGACAGTAGTTCGGATGATATTTGTCAAAGGCCCATGAGGAAACGCTATGCAATGACTAACTGATAAGAATGATTAGTGCTTCTTCAAGGCGCTTTAGCTCCCCCTTTCTTAGGTTTGCCAGTCTAGGTTGTGTGTTTTAAGAGGCATGTTTACCCATGTAATGTTACAAGAGGCATTTCTTATTGTACCCAGAATCCCGGAAAACCCAGGTAAAGTTTTCCGGGATCTTCATGTGTTCATCTGTTGCCTATGTACTTAGAAATACTCACATCCTTTTTTAACAGGTGCATTGAAAATAGTTGTGCGATTATAACTTGATAATTATTGGTACTAATTCTGACGCTGTTAGACGCAATCTGTCATTTTGAAATGTACTTTCTGTTATCAAAGGCGTGGCAAAGTATTCAGAAATATACAGAACACTAGTATAATTGTTGAAACCCAGTTGAAAGCTCTGAAAAGTTCTTAAATACAGATTAGCCTTGACACCAGCAGTCCCTTCTATGATGAAATACTCACACAAGGGATTCGTCGGAAGTGATCACGTCGGCCGACTCGATGATGAAGTCATCCTCTGACACCGGTGACGTCACTAATGAACCCGCAGAGGCTGGCGAACGGATTGAAAAAGCTGTATCAGAAGTGGCCGGGCCAAAGAAGAACGTAAATGTGGAAAAGAAAATGAATCTAGATTAGCTAGCAATTGACCCACGGACGCAGGCCAAATGATTTGTTTGAAACCATTTGAAACAGAACGCTCATGGGCCGCACTGGCTTGATTTATTCGATTTGTTTTGCTTTTTTAGAATGAGCGTTGGTCATTGGACTTAATATGCTCACATGTTTACTCGGTGTGATATTCTACTGAAGATATGGAAACTTCCTGTAGCACAGAATCGTTATGTTGTATAAATATGTGAGCCGCATTCCAAGTCTACCCCTGTTTTATATACCCTTGGCTACTTATCTGTCTTGTTACGTGTCTTAGTCTTAGTTACGAACACATACATAGTTTCCATCATAATAATATAGCAATGAACCCATGACCCACATCCAACGTAGAACTTGCTATAGTATATGGCGGATAGTAGTATCCGCTACACCTAGTGCTAGTTATAGCCATTAGCCATTCTATTCCAAACTATTCCAAACTATTTGGCGACTATTCCAAACGCCACTAGTCGGTGGCGTTTGGAATAGTCGGACGTGTTTCAAAGTGCTCCACTATTTTAGTTTATTTACCGTAAACAGATCAGATAATGCTGTGAAATATGTATTAAAATGTTCACATTTTATCGTATATTATTTCTGGTGTGTAAATGTTTCTCAGAAAGTATGTGTAGGACTACTATAGTCGTTTAAAAAAGGATTATTTTCCTTAATTTTTTGGAAAGCGTCTTGGCTCCATCAATGTCAACTTCCCTTGATTTTTTCTCTGGTGGCAGTGGCACGTGCTTTATAAGTTAGGATCTAGGAATCGCAGGATTTAGCGATTGCGTCAAGGCATTATGCACAATTCTACGGACGACGACTCGGATTGCTTTGTCGAAGGCTATGACCCAAAAAGCAGCGAATGGATCATTGCAGGAAAAAGAAAAAGGAACAAGAAAATGAATGACAAAAATGAAAAGGCTGCAAAGGTAAACAATGCCCCAAACTTATGTGGCTCTTGTCAGATGGAAATGGGCGCCAAAGACCGATCACTGGAGTGTGAGGTGTGCTTGTTAAGATACCATGTTGTTTGCCAAGGAGTATCGGACAAACTGTACGAAGCCCTTGGGGACGAGGCAGACAGTTGTGCATGGTTCTGTCGGGCGTGCAAAGAAGGAGCTAAGCAGCTGAGACTCGAGATCATAGCGATGAAGCGAGAGCAGCTGTCGATCAAATCCGACCTCAAAAGCCTCGCATCTACATGCGAGCAGAACTGTGCTGAGATTGCCGCATTGAAAGCTAATATTTCACAGACTAGCCAGAAGCTTGAAGCGTGTCAAAAAGAGCTGCAGGCTAGAATCAACGCCATCGAGGTCAGTTCCAGTGTTACTCAAGCTGCCCTCCAAGTAAAGCTGGAAAAAAGATTGAAACAAGTGGAGCAAAGCTGTGGGTCGGCATCAGCGGAGATGAGCAGTCCAAGCTATGCTCAAGCAGCAAGAGCAAACATGTCAGCATTGGAAACCAGACTGGAGGAACTGGCCGTGACTGTAAAGTCAAGCCTAGTAAAGAAGGACACAACCGATACCAGAGCCCTGAAGAAAGGACTGACTGAACTAGAAGACATTGAAAACAGAAAACTAAACTTGGTTGTTTTCAACCTCCCCGAGACCGGCAGCAGCGAGGGAGACATTGCAGCATTCAAAGAAATGATCAAGTCTGAGTTCAAGTTATCTGTGAAGTTACAGGAGGCCACAAGACTTGGAAAGATGAAAGACACAGGCTCCAGAATACTTAGAGTGAAACTCGAGGCACTGAGTGAAAAGAAGCTGATCTTGGCTAAAGCGAAGGATCTGCGAACAAGCCGTGATGAAACATATACTAGTGTCTTTATCCGTCCAGATCTTACAAAATGCCAACTTGAGGCTTCAAAAAACTTGCGAGCACTATTGCAGGAAAAGCGCCTAGCTTTCCCAGAAAAGAAATGGATGATAAAACGGAACGAAGTGGTCATGGTTCCATCACTGCAAAGCTAAACATCCAAGATGGCACGAAAACAACCGGGCCCCCAACACATTCAAGTGCGTTAAAAGTGTTTTATGCGAACATCGATAATTCTATCATGAGTAAATACGACTCTATTTTGGCACTCATTGCACTTGAGGACTACGATGTTCTTGCGTTATCAGAAATGAAGCCCAAAGTTGGATTGATACCTGAACATACTGTTATGGAAGTGCCTGGGTATGACCTTTTTACTAGCAAATTTTCTGCCGAAGGTACAAGGGGTACGGGAATTTACGTCAAGAAAAACTTACTGGCCAAGCAAGTGTATCCTACGGTAGGCGGCAACTTTCAAGATTGTACCTGGATTTCAATTGATGCCCAGGCTGGGGTCAGTATGCTCGTTGGGGTGATCTATAGAAGTGGGTCACCAAATAGAGCTATTCCTTTGGATCATGATCTCCACAAAATGTTTGGTTGGGCGGCATCCTCAAATCATTCCCACAAAGTCATAGTTGGGGACTTCAACCACCCAGAAATATTTTGGACCCCGGACCCCGAAGTTCCAGAAGGTGTCAGCCAGAACAGCCCAGCCCGGAAGTTTATAGAATGCATACACGACACCTACCTTCTACAACATATAACGGAGCCAACAAGATACAGGGATGGACAGCGAGCTACTCTCGACGACCTACTATTTACAAATGAGCGGGAGTTGGTTGAGCAACTCAGCATTGGTGACCCGGTTGGAGCAAGCGACCATGTCAGCATCTCATTTGTTATGTCGTTTGCACCAAAGGCTCCAGCAAGAAAGAGTGCGGTGCTGAACTACCATAAAGCCAATTATGAAGATATGAGGGAAGCACTTAACATGGATTGGCAAGGATTGTTCGAAGGTAAATCTGTGCAGGAGATGGCAGATAAACTTGAACAAACGATCGCGGATCTGATAGAAGAGCATGTGCCCAAGGTTGATCCTAACAAAAAATCGAAAAGGGGATATCCCCTCTGGATGAATCGAAATGCTCTGAGGATGGTGAAGAAGAAACAGCACGCCTGGATTCGTTTTTTGAACACTAAGGATGTTTCTGATTACCAGAGCTATGTTAAGGCAAGAAACGAAGCTACTCACGCGACAAGGAAAGCAAGGCGGGAATTTGAGTCGAAACTGGCTAAAGAAGTAAAAGGTAACCATAAAGTGTTTTGGAACTACGTCAACCGCCGTAGGAAGTCGAGATGCGGTGTATCTGACTTACGCAGTGCTAATGGAGAACTCACGAGTAATGACAAGCACAAAGCTGACATATTGAACCAGCAATACGCGAGCGTGTTTACAAAGGAGGACGTATCATCAATTCCAACAATAGCATCGAAGCCCTTGGAGTCAGAGATGGAAGTTACAATAACTGTTCAGAGAGTTAATGCCATGTTGAAGACACTTAAGGTCGATAAATCACCAGGCCCGGACAAGTTACACCCTCGTGTATTACAGGAGCTTGCGGACCAGCTTGCGCCACCTATCACGGCATTATTTAGAAAAAGCGTTGAAACTGGGGAAATTCCCCTGCAGTGGAAGCTGGCGATCGTCACACCGATCTTTAAAAAGGGTGACAAAAGTGATCCTGCAAATTACCGACCAGTTTCATTGACATCAATACTATGTAAGCTTTTGGAGAGGATAATTGGCGAAGATATCATTACTCACCTGAAGACAAATAACTTTATCGCTCATCAACAGCATGGCTTCATCACGGGAAAATCCACGGTCACAAACCTACTGGAAGCACTTGATGTTTGGACAGAAGCGCTTAGTCACAAGTTACCTGTGGATGTTGTATTTTTAGACTATGCCAAAGCCTTCGACACTGTGCCCCATGAACGGCTTCTGGCCCAGGTCAAGGCTCTGGGAGTCGATGACGTAACATGCCGATGGATAAGGAGCTTCCTCACTGGCAGACAGCAGAGGGTGAAAGTAAATGGATCGCTTTCAGATTGGGGGAATGTAACGAGCGGGGTGCCACAGGGCTCAGTCCTCGGACCTCTCTTGTTCTCTATGTTTGTTTGTGACATTCCCGACCTGTTAAATTGTTTCATTTCCATGTTTGCCGACGATACGAAAGTCTATCAAGTCGTCAACGAGTCTGATGGTTCAAATGGCTTACAAGAGGACATAAACTCTATACAGGATTGGGCAAGAACAATGCAGATGCTATTCCATCCACTGAAGTGCAAGGTCATGCATCTAGGATCAACTAATCCTGAAAAAGAATATACTATGACTACTATAGATGGAGACAATCACACTCTGGAAGCAGTCAGTGAAGAAAAAGACCTAGGAGTTACTATTGACAAGAAACTATCATTTTCAAAACATGTCATGAACCAGGTTAACAAGGCCAATAGAATTCTCGGAGTCATCAAACATACCTTTGCAAACATTGACAGTGATGTCTTTCAAGCCTTGTACAAGAGCATCGTGAGACCCCATCTTGAGTATGCCGCTGTTATATGGAGCCCCAAATTTAAGAAGGATAAAGACGCACTCGAGCAGGTGCAACGGCGGGCAACGAGACTGGTGAAGGGGCTGTCTCACCTGTCATACTCAGATCGTCTCAGAAGCCTCAATTTGCCTACCCTTGAATTCCGAAGGCAAAGATCAGATATTATCGAGACATTCAAAATCTTAAAAGGCTTCGACACGGTGAACTACCAAAGAGAGTGCTCGTGTTGTCGCAACAGCATGTTCAAGAACTCTCTTAGCCGTACCACCCGAAGTCATGGCCAAAAGCTGCAGGTTCAGCATCAGTTGGGACCTAGGAAAGCCTTCTTCGCGGCACGAGTGACTCGGGCGTGGAACAAGCTGTCTAGGAACACTATTGAAGCACCAAATGTCGATGTTTTTAAGTTCAGACTTGGGAAAGAATGGAAGGACCACCCCGACAAGTTTAACTACAACTTCTCCTACTAATGCTCAAGAGTGGCTACTCATCGTATTAACAACAGTAGCTACTGTCACTAACAACAGTGGTCGTCATTTTATGACGACAACAAGCATGGCAGCCAACTCGTCTTCATCAGAAGAGGAGGAGGCGCCTCTTGAGTAAAGGGTCTTATTACTCGAAAGGGTATCTAATGACCTTTACTTAAGGTAAATACTTAAGGTAAATTAGGTGTGGCGTACTCAACGGTATAATTAAGTGCTACTTTCTTGACCGTTCCGTGTTTTTTATCATTATTGGTTTGGAGCTTGATCAATGGTCGAGCGAGCATCACGGATCTCCCTGGAGGTCAGAGAACGTGTCCTATTCGAACCTCTGGTCACTATAGGCTGAGATATTTCAGAGCGTCCTAATGCGATGGCATTAACATTGAGCACGGACCAGTCACCATTCCACGCTAGGGCGTCGCTCCGATCCCTGACCTACCGTTAAGGGGTACCAGCCGGGCCCTAGCCACTGTGGGACAACTGTGTGTCGTTCTAAGCCCCTGACCTACCGTTGCACAGTGATGCAAATGGGGTTCACGAGTGGCCATAAATACGAAAAAGGCCCAAAATTCAAGTTCACTTAATCGAATAAATCGTAATATGGTCAGTCAGGCAAATGTTTGGGGTGTCTGAAAAAGTATGATTTTAATGTTTTTTGTCAAAACCGGCCTCGTGTAGGATTGTCAGAAGTCGAGACATTTTCGATGTCGTAAAATGACTGTCAGGTACTTGAAATTCAAGTGCCGCTAGCGTGCGTTCATGTCATACAAACTGCAAAAATTATACATGAAAATGATCCCCCAAACCTGCTGCTTCTAATGCTACGTCATAAAAAGCAGTATCTTTTTTGGTTTGGCGGTGAGCTAACTATTTGTAATCATGTTGCAACCGCAGTTTTTTACTAGAAAGATTTGCTTTCAATTCACCTACAGCACTTCACACAGTGTGTGCCCGTTAGTGCACCATATCATAGCATTCCCTAATCATTTCTGAGTCGCATCGTGAAAGAATTAAGGCGCTAGCACAGGGCTGACCGGCGCTACAGAAGTTTTCGTCCGGCACGGTCGGATGCCGCGGCGCAGCGGGCCGCCGCGCCGCCGCGCCCGGACGCCGCGCGGCGGCACCCACGCGCCCACTGCGCGCCCACTGCGGCACCCGACCGCCCGGACAAAAACCTCTGTAGCGCCGGTCAGCCCTGTGCTAGCGCCTTAATTCTTTCACGATGCGACTCAGAAATGATTAGGGAAGGCTATGGTATGGTGGACTAACGGGCACACACTGTGTTAAGTGCTGTAGGTGAAACGAAAGCATTTTTTTTCTTAGTAAAAAACTGCGATTGCAACATGATGATAAATAGTCAGATTACCGCCAAAGCGAATGAGATACGGCTTTTTGTGACCCAACATTAGAAGCAGAAGGCTTTGGGGATCATTCTCATGCATAATTTTTTTTCAATTTGTACGAAATGAACGCAAACCAGCGGCGTTTGAACTTGCGAGTGTCTGACCGTCATTTTACGACCTAGAAAATGTCACGACTTCTGACGATTATACACGAGGCCGGTTTTGACAAAAACACGAAAACCATGTGATTTCAGATGCCCCAAACATTTGTCTACTCGGCCCTATCGCAATTAACTCGATTTGGTAAACTTGACTTTTGGGTATTTATGGCCACTCGTGAACCCCATTTGCATCACTGTGCGTTGAGGGGTACCAGCCGGGCCCTAGTCACTGTGGAACAACTGTGTGTCGTTCTAAGCCCCTGACCTACCGTTGAGGGGTACCAGCCGGGCCCTAGCCACTTCCCCAACCACTGTGGAATAGGCGAGTGTCGTTCTAAGCCTCTGATCTACCGTTGAGGGGTACCAGCCGAGCTCTAGCCACTGTGAGACAACTGTGTGTCATTCTAAGCCCCTGACCTACCGTTGAGGGGTACCAGCCGAGCTCTAGCCACTGTGAGACAACTGTGTGTCGTTCTAAGCCTCTGATCTACCGTTGAGGGGTACCAGCCGGGCCCCCGCCACTGTGAGACAACTGTGTGTCATTCTAAGCCCCTGACCTACCGTTGAGGGGTACCAGCCGGGCTCTAGCCACCTACCTCCCTGTGGGCTAATTGTGTGTCATTCTAAGCCCCTGACCTACCGTTGAGGGGTACCAGCCGAGCTCTAGCCACCTCCCCAACCACTGTGGAATAGGCGAGTGTCGTTCTAAGCCCCTGACCTACCGTTGAGGGGTACCAGCCGAGCTCTAGCCACCTCCCCCGCCACTGTGGTGCCGGGAGCCAATATCACCGTCGCCGCTACGCTCCCTGAAGGAGAAATATCCAGGGCACCGTCAGATAACAGAGTAGCAGTTAGATGGCCTGTCAGTGTTCTCAGGAATAACTAGGTAATAGCCGTTTTCACGAAGGCCATCAAGTACACCTTTGGTGCAGCTTAGGTGCAGACTTGGTTACAGGTCAAATTAGGTTCATTGTGTTTCTTAAAAGTTGTCCGTTTGGGTTGCACAGTTGCATAGACCATACTTTTCAAATCATCAGGGTTTATTCTCGATTAAAATACTGAAATAAATTCATGATATGAAGATCTTTGTTGTAAGAGATTTGGTGCATATTTGGTAAATTACGTGTCCTCTCCAGATAGACCGTCGTGAAACCGGCTAATATGGTGACAGTGTGAGTGATTATCACCTATCGTTTATATCTTGCGGCGTTAAAAACTAGACACGGATTACATAAAGGTGAATTATATGAAGATACTCTCATATAATTCGTTTCTGTTGCCATCCACCGGCTTTAAAATTTTGACGCATGAACTCTGATAGTATAGTACTACAGATGCATTTCGAAGTGAACGGAGACAAATAAGAGAAGGGGCAAGAGGAGTGATAGAAGTGACAGAGCAGGGAACTGTGGCACACCAGCATTAATTTATCAATGATAGTATTTACGACACATCTTCGTCTCACAATTACAGGTCCACTTGACCTACACCTCACTGCCAGCCCTATACTCACCGTTATGCGGCTGCACTCTCAGCACTCCATTATTCTGCCCTCCATTCTGCTCAGCCACCCCGGGGGTCGTCCGCCACTGCTGTGCCATCTGCTGGAACTGTACCGGCGCCACCGCGGCGGGAGACGACTCCCGGGACTGGAGGTAGGGCGGACTGGCGCCGTCCCCTCCCAGAGCCATCGGAGAGTCGGGTGACGCGTCCGAGCCGACGCTGCGGAGAAGAAAAGGAGGTGTGTGAAGACTTAGTTTGTATTGAATTATAAAAGAGTTTCGACGACTTACAGGTCTACGAATATGGGTGCGTGTTTCAGTACCAAAATACTCTCATTATTGAATGCAAACATACCGAGTACGTACAAAAATATATGCTCATTTCTCATCGCACGAGATCCGAGAACCTCAGATGAACAACAATTATCTGAATTACTATTTCAAGTTAACGAAAATAGTTTCTTTATAGCATGGATCAAGACCGTCCTCTCTTAATTCTCTTCCCATCAAGACGACACAACGACCACACCAGCTTCAATACCAAACACCCATCAATAGTACACCTACCCATCCAGCTTCCACTTCTCTCACACCCCTCCCCATCACTAACCCGTTTCCATTCCTCGCTCCAGCTCCATTGGCGGCGCCCCGGCCGCGTCTCCGGAAGGCCTGTTCCACCAGAGTGCCCTCCGCTTGCGGCTTCACGCGCCAGAAGCCGCCCTTGCCCTGGTGCTCGTGGCTGCGAGCCACCTTCGTGAAGCTCCGGTTCAGCGATAGGTTGTGGCGAATTGAGTTCTGCCGGCGAAACGGGGACTTTGTGAGCGAAATGATTAAGTTTGAAGGTGGGGGATATAGTGAAGAGAATGCGGTTAGAATAAAGAGTGGTATGGAGCAAAGTAGAAGAAAGGAAGGGGCCAAAATGGTGAGACACTGAGAGGCCAAGTTTAACAGTGAGGGTTATAGAAAGGGGAAAGAATGGAGAAGAAACGAGGGGCAAATGTAACTAGGCGCATAACGAGTGGGAAAAGACTACCCATAGACGAAGAAAGAATATAAGTTAACAGGGAGGTACCATCGGAGTCGAAGCGAGGGTGCCTGGGACAGTACGGCAAATTACGGTCGACACGTGACATGTGATACGTAACGCTAATGCTCTTTTTTCTTGTTGTTGTTTATTGGGGCTTTAGGGCTAGCCGACTACAAGGTCATTTTGCACCCATAACGCTAATGTGAATGGATATCTAAACAATAAGACACCTAATATTACAGGTTCGAAGTTACCACACAAACAATATGTACATTATACATGATGACGTGATGTGTGTAATGCTTTATATTAAAGTCACAGATAAAAGCGATCCACGAGCATAAATTTCAGCCAAAATACACGCCGCACAAACGACTGAGATCCCATTCCTCACCTGCCAGCCCTTGTCGGCGGTGCGGTAGTAGGGGTAGTGGCGCGTTATGTAGCTGTAGATACCGCTCAGTGTCAGCTGGCCGTCCTTGGAAGTCGATAGGGCCTGTACGATCAGCTGGGCGTACGAGTAGGGCGGCTTGGAGCGACGGTCCTGGCGGGCGGGGTGAAAAAGGCCGGCTTGTATATGAATACAAAACGAGTATAACAGGGAAATGCGCCTAGGATGAGCTCTACCAGAACTTCGATATAGTCAAAGTAGTTGTAACTAAACTATTTCAAAGTAGTAAAAATGCATTTAATTGTTAGCCTAATTTAAATGCGTCAAATTGTATGAATAATGTAGGCCGGGCGGGGCCGCTGCCTAGCACACCTATGTATAACTAAAACCAAGATTACATGGCTAACCCAATAACTCTGATCACCCACTCTTCCTTTTATTGCCCAGTTAGTTATTACCCAGTTCTATTACCCAGTTATCACCCACTCTTCTCATCTGAGTCATCTGACCATGAGCTCGCCGCTCCACTGACCATGAGCTCGCCGCTCCACTGACCTGAGGTCGGTGCTCGCCGGCCGTGTCACCGCGCCGCTCCTGCGCCGCGCCCCTCGAGTCGCTGCTGTAACTGTGATGCAGTAGCGGGGCGGTTTGTTCGCCACTGCTCTCCTCGAGAATAATGACGTCTCCCAGCTGTGAGGGGCTCACAGCGCGGCTACTGGATGTGCTGAAAGATAGAGTGGAGATTGAGGAAGATAGCATCTAGTGGTTCACTTTCTCATGGCCAGCTGGATTTGGATAAGGCTGTAATTTTGAGGCTGGGAGAGAGCACACAAGGGTTGTTATTCACGCCAGCTAGTAACTATCGAGAAAAGGCCGCAGAGGAGAATCATGTCGCCATCTACCTGCAATGCTCCAGGCTCAAAATTTCCTCAGTGAGCTTGATACAGGGCGCAGGCTGTGTGATGGGTTGATCTTGATAGGCAGTAGGCCTGTGGTGTTACCAGGGCTAAGAGTCTACAGATTCCGACTCCGGCTCCGACTTCAAAAAACGACTCCGACCCCGATTCCAGATAGTGCTCTTCAAGTCCAGTTAAAGGGACCCTCCCACCTTAACCTTCGCCCTGGTGGGGGGGGGGGGCCATTTTGGCCCCCCCCCTGTGGTTTTTCAGCGATAACTCAGAAACCACTTGAGTTAGCGCCCTGAAACTTTGTATAGCTGTTTATTCAACATTTTTACATCATGTCCTGTTTTGGGGGGTTCGGGTCAGGTCAGGTCAGGTCACAAGGTCACCAAAACTGACACCACCTCTAAAAAAGTTCAAAGCTCTCTCAAAGGCACAGCTTTTATCCGATCGATGTAAAATTTACAGTACTTGAAGATGTCACCCAGCTCTACAAAATGGCTATCTCGGATTTTTTATAAATGTGACCTAAGGTCAGGTCAGGTCATCGCTGCTCCCCATTATAAGTCAATGGGAGAATCGAAAAGTAGTTGTTTTTCAGCTAAATCGGGCGTGATTGATCCTATATTTCGTTATTGAAGTGTCTTGGGTCAGCAAATCACAGCCCATGTGAAACCATTTGCTTGTGACCTCGCTGAGGTCACGCTAGGTCATCTCCCTGGTCACCAGAGGTCACCAGCGGTTTTTCTGCACTTACTTGTTATTGAATAGAGATAGAGACTCCGTTCGACGTTTATCGTGTTTGTCTCGTCAATGCGGATCGAATGATATGCAGCATGACCTATTTCGGTAAGGTCATGACCTTGACCTGAGGTCAAATTTTCAAAATGACCTTTCGAGGTCAAGCTATATATCATTCGACGCGTCTCGACGAGCCAAGCACGATGGTGCATGAATCGTTTCTCTATTTTCTCGTGAATGCATGCTATAGTTAAAAACATTTTCAACAAAATTTGCCAAGTTGACCTTGCATGACCTCTGTAGGCCAAACCGTTGAGCTGAGGTCAAATCTGACGAACCTTGGCGAAAGAGCTTGAAAAGAGCTATCGATTGTTTTTTTCCGCGGCTCTCTAGCTCTTCTAGTTTCCGAGCTACAGCGGAATATGTCCGGCAACACCGAAAACACTGAAATTTGACCTATGATGACCTCTAGCGACCTCAATATTGACCTTAGCGAAAAAATGACCGAAATACTTTCGAACGTACTTGTTATGGGCTTTCGTTTGCTTTTTTCCGCGTCTTCCTAGCCCTCTTCGTTTTCGAGTTAGACGGGGGGGGGTCATTTTGGCCCCCCCCACCAGGGCGAAGGTGGCTCAGACCCACACCAGGGCGCGGGTTAAAAAAAGTTAATTGAATTGACATGAAAGTGATGTCGCTAGGTTCAGAAAGAGCGAAAACGAATATCTACCAAATTTAATCGAAAAATATTCACCGGTTCTCAAGATATTATACTTTTACTTTTGTTTACTTTTTGGGATCTCCGCTGTTCCAAGCGACTTTATTTGGAAGTGCGACATTTGTTGCACGCAAAGCAGCATATACAGTGTCCCAAAATTTGCCGATCTGGGTGAGAACTGACACCCAAAACGGCCGCAATTTTCCCCTCCGATGCGAAACATTTGGAGCCAATTTTCCACTCCTAAAACAGCCCTGAAACGTTACTTTTAATATAAATTAATTAGCAGGATTATCACTCCCAATTCACATTAAATATCTAAGTTTGTCCCACGCTCACCTGCCGAGAAACATACCTACAATTCTTGACGCATGTACAATTCATGAGTAAGCATGTTAATGTCGGGTTTTTCACACCTGAATTTTGCACTCTCTTCATCATTTTGGAGGTTGAATTTTCCACTCTGACACCCAGGACCAAAATAAATTTTGGGACACTGAGCATATACCACCGCGTGCTACCAAACGCTTTAGTTAAAAATTTAAAAATCGTTAGATCTCCGCTGACGTCACAAATTCTAAGGGGGCATTCCAATCCATTAGCCCCTTAGAATCCGAAAACTGGAAGTTTGAAATTCCATATCTCCGAATTAAAGCATTTTTCGATGTTGTGAGTGCCCAAAACGGTATTTACAGGCCATGGCCACCAATTTGGCTATCTCAACTCAAAACTAATGTTAAGGTGGGAAGGTCACTTTAATGAAATTTAGTTGCATCTCAGAGACATTTTTATCTTGCCTGAAGCGACCTTTTCCGCGTTCCAAGGCCTTACATTTGCAAAAAGTAATCTTTAAGTGGCGTGGAGAAATAAAAACCGGTTTTGACGCAACAGTCGTCTGTAATTTTTTTCAAAGAAAAAATGAAAATGCTTGTCCAAAACAGGGGCATGTCCTTAGCTTCAACAAAATTTGATTTTGAAAGGTCAGAGAGCAAAATGTCATCAAGCAAACAGGTGCAGGGCATGACTGAGCCATGCAGCATTCCCTTGGACTTAGGAGTCAGAGTCGGTAAGATTTTGGTGACCCCAGCTTCGACTCTAGACTACGGGCAAAACTTCTACTGTGACCAACTCAGAACCCAAGTCTGCAGCATGAATGCTACAAAATGCAACAGGCTCTGCTTCACTGGATCCAAGCCCAAAGCCACCCATTTAACAATTTCCTGCTGAACTAGGTTATGAAAAATGACACAAAATGACATTGGCAACAACACATGCAGACACCTAAATCAACTAACAGCATTTACAATATTTTGTATCTCCTTACCTAACAATATCAGTTGGAGAGGTTGCGGGACCTGTCGCAATGGCCTGCTGAGAAGATGGGTCTGTGTCCACTGAGATGTCGACTTGAGATACAAACACCATGAACATCCCAGTGCTCGGGAAACCAATCATGCATCTGTGAAAATAGTACAACTTTGTCAAAGTGGAACTGAGAGACATTCTTGCTAAGTTCACATATAAGTTCAAAGTAAGGTCATGGATGTGTGATAAGTAAATATATAAGCAGTAAATCTGCATCACCATCTTATTATTGTACCCAATTAACCAGTGCTGTGCTTGTGGCCTAACTTTTCCATGGTGCGCTGGGAAGGGAGAGCATTTAACACACACCCTCGGCCTCCCATCTTACATCGTCCATCACAGGTAGATACCAAGTCTATCATTCACCATATAGGTAGGTGCATAATATCTGACAATAACATTAGTTGTGTTCCCAAGCCAATCTTAGCTTTGAAAATTCACAAACTATATTCCAAAGACATGGAAGCAAGTCGTTGAAGTTGAAGTTGAAGTTGAGCATTACAGTAGGCGGAACTATGGTCAAGCGTACCCATTTTCGGGAACGCATTTTCGTTCCCATGTTTGGGAACGATAAACCCAAATATGGGAACGCCATGTAGGCATTATTTAAAACAAGAAAAAGAACCGTTAAATGACGTCCAAAAAATATAAAACGATCGTGAACCGCCTGATATTTGTCTCAATATTGTTGGGAAAGAGTTTGATATTGTAAGGCCCATCGTAGTTTCAAATCGTTCCCCTATTTCTAAAGCAGTCCATCATCCGGGCCGCGAGCCCAAACTTGGGAACGCTCTCGTACACTGGCGCTGCAAGCGTTCCTTATTATGGGAACGGCGTACCCAAAATTGGGAACGATTTCACCGACGCCTTTCAGGGGCTCTTTTCATTATCAAGCATCACGTCCAACGCCGCAAATTATTGTTAACGCAACAATCATCAGATGACCTTTCCGGCAAGACCGTCGCATGTTTCGCCCGGTCTTCTGCGCTTTTATTCCCGTCGATCTCGCAGCGGGCACGCCCCCCTCTGCAGGATTACGTAATTCACAACGCTCAGCGATGTTCAACAAGGTCTTCCATACCTATATCCACCGTCCGCGCTGAGAGTGGAGACATGTCAAGCACCTGTCTGTTTATCACCGATAGTTGACGAGTACAAGGAAGTATCCAAAAATGGGAACGCTGAATATGTTACACCCTCAAAACACCTAGTCCCAATGAAAATCTAGTTTTTTCCTTTCTTGATGAGTGTAAGTGGCAAAAGGCCTGGTAGGATGGGCACGAGGAATTATCGAAATCAGCATAAAAATTATAAATAAGCCACACAGAGCGAGCTATATAAGAGAAATTCCCCGAAAACGATCACGCTTAGAAACACGGAAGACAAAAACCACGCTCATGACGCTCCTTATAAAACAACTCTAAACAGCTAGCATCCAAATAAAATATGTCTTTCCGGGATGATAAAATACAGCTGGATAATTTTCAACCGCTTAAACTGAGTTTACAACAGTAGCTCGGTAAATTCACTCACGTTCCACGCGGTCGTCCGCCCCGACACAAAAGTCAACAATATTACCTCGGGACCGTCCGCGTCTTCGCTTGCATTTGTCAGCATCTGGTGTCGATAGTATGAAAGTTCATAACCAGGCGAAAATTATTATACTTTACCTCAAACTAAAAAATGCTTCATTTTCCTTAAAATTGCATGTTAAATGTCGTATAACCCATATTTCCACCATTCTGTCATTTTCAAAAAATTATTAAAAATATCATTCCACGGTCAATTTCCTTGTTCCACGGTCAGATTAAAGATAACTTTATGGAGATTTAGTAGATACCTAAATCAGCGTGCACTTTTTTGAGACGTGATGCACTTTTGAGTTTTAGTGGGAGAACGGCCGAAAAATTGCCTTCCGTTCTCATAAATGGGAACGCCCGTTCCCATATTTGGGAACTCCGTTCCCAAAAATGGGAACGTTCCTATATTTGGGTACTCATGACCATAGTTCCGCCTACTGATTAGTGAGCTGTAGTAGACTAGGTCTATTCAATGCTCACATCGAGCCGGACTAGGAAATGAGCCATAAGGTCAGTTGTGGCGTGAGGATGCAGGTTTGGCAGCCCTGATTCTTGTCCATTCTGATTCTTGTCTGGAATGGCTTTGCAACAGGCAAATCTCACCTTGATGGGATAATTTGAAGTCCGTCACTAGGCCGCTGAAAGTCGTCATCAACAAATACCCCATTCTTGCTATGACACTTCAGGAAGAAATCGGGTTCTTTAAAAATTATTTCGAGGTGAACACGCGAAATAAAGCTGGAATCGCCCAGATCAACGTCTACATCTCCTTTAGAGCTATGCCGGCCAAGAGTGATACGTTTCTGGCGCATTAAATATTCTTTATCGTTCCACTCAATTTTAGCTAAAACTGGTCCTTCCTGTGGCTGACTCATGTCTGTCACCTGTACAGCAGTTGTAGCTGAAGGCTTTGATAAAAGCTTCGATAAAAGCATAACAATGCAGAATGCTGCCTCAACGAACGGCTAACCCCCGTCCTCCACAGCACACAACGCCGCCGAGATGCACGTGTGTTCAAGGCCGCGTGTGTTCGATTAGACTGCGAGGATATATTAAAAAAAGAAGCATGTATTACGTATAAATACAAATTTTATAATTATGTTCACACACAAAGGTTTTCATTTCTTATCATAAAAATTGACTCTTTCTCTAAAAATAGTTTTATTCAAAGATCATTGCAATAATTATTGGACTTCGGCTCGCGCTTTCACGGGGATCGGACGTGTCCAATCGAGCTCTCACTCTCACAGGACCCAATCAGTGCACACATAAGTTAGGTACCCACGGCACAATTTCACCTGTCGGCTTATCTTCATGAGCGAGGATGCTAGTCCAGAGGTCACCTCAACCTCCAAGGTCGAAACCACAGCGGACCGCAACTGAAAATGCACTCAATTCGACGATCGCAAATGGATCTCCAGCGACGCCATCGACGCCGTCGGATGCAAATGTGGAGGTCGGCGGCGGCAAACGTGGAGGCGGCAACGAGGTGAATGATTTTGTTGCCGAAGGAGCTGAAGGAGGTAAGGCAGGGAACTGTGCTTTTTCTGAACCGTGTGGAATATTTGAGCTAGGTTCCAAGGAAAACCAGACAGATAAAATAAAAGAAGTGGCTGGTGCTGTCGCACGAGCCCCCCAACTGAGCTCACTTGCAACAGATTCCACAGAGGATGAGGCTCCCAAAATTAGGAGGCTCAGTAGTGATGCCTATAAACTGTGGGGCTCAAGGTCTTCAAACACGAGCCCTGATCCGGATGTACCAAACTTGGACAGAAACTCGTGCAAGGGTGGTCCGAGCAACCCAATCTGTGACACTGATGTGAAAGACGGGGAAATGGGTGTACAGTGCTGCACGTGTGATCGCTGGTTCCATTCTAAGTGTCAAGGCATTTCAAAGCAGTGCTACAATGCCCTTGTGAAGCACAAGGTGTTATCTTGGCATTGTTCTGCCTGTAAACAAGGCCTCAAAACTAAGGGCAAGAGTGATGAGGACAACAGACTTTCTAAACTGGAGTCAAAGCTCGATGCATTGATTGATTTCATGCAAACAGCATTTGCAAAGATTGATGCCAACAGTCACAACGAGCACTGTGAGACACAGAGTGGTGTCAAACAGCTGAAAGATCATGTAGATGAACGAATGGAAAAGGTGGAGAAGGTCATGCGTGCTCATGCCAAACTCATCGGAGATCAGGAGACAATGTTACAGCACTCCTTCAAGAAAATCCAGGATGATAGGGCGTCCTACGCAGAGGCCGTCAAGGGCAGCGCTGAGGTGATGCAAAAAGCAGCCAAAAAGTTTGAAGCGATTCCATCCCAAGGGAAGGAGAATATCAGCCTCTGCACTGAGAAGGCAATAGCAGGTGTCTTTGATGACTTCTTAGAAAAAGAGAAGCGCAAGCTGAATGTGGTAGTGCATAACCTCCCGGAGCCAACAAGTGAGTTGTATGCTGAACGAGTGGAAGCAGACAAAGAAAAGTTTAGGGAGGTAATCCGGGATGCTATGCATCTCAATGTGAGAGTAACAAAGGCATACAGGGTCGGCAAGCCGGGTCAGGAGAAGCCACGACTGTTGATAGTGGGACTTGAAAACACTGAGGTTAAAAGTGATGTGCTAAAACTGGCACCTCAACTACGGTCGACAGATCTCTGGAAAAATGTATACCTTTCACCTGACCTTACCTGGAAAGAGAGGGAAGAGGGTAGACGCCTCCGAGAAGAGCTACGAAGGAGGACAGATGCAGGTGAAGTGAACCTCACCATCAGGAAGGGTCGGATTGTGACAAGAAAACTGGACCTGACTCGGACAGTGGAAGCTGAACTTGTTCGGGGTAGGCCACAAGGTGCTGTAGCACCCCAGCAACATGCTACATCTCGGAGGCAGACCTTGACAACCCCAGGGACGGCCCAGACGGGCCAGACCCCGGATCAGGAAAGGTGCTGACAATCCAGGCCGGCAGGACCAAGATATGAAGAAGGTCTCAAGGTACTGTATGCAAATGCAGACCAGTTTGTGAAGAAACGTGATGACCTTTGCATGTTTATTTCGGGAAATGAACCAGACTTCATCTTGCTTAATGAGGTCATACCTAAAGCCCAACTTCACCCAATATCCCCAGCCCTTTTGTCTGTACCTGGCTACGTCATGTACCTGAACTTCGACCCCTCGGAAACCAAGCTGGGTTCAAGTGGTATTAGAGGGGTCTGCATTTATGCCAAATCATCACTCCGGGTATCTGAAGTTGTTTTTAAGGATTCAACATTCAGAGAGCAGCTTTGGATAGAGATGCCGCTGGCTAGCTCTGATGTCCTTCTACTTGGCTGTATTTATCGAAGCCCCTCTGGTTCTGCCGAAGAAGATCTTAACAAGATTGGATCTCTATTCAAGCAGGCTACCAACTCTAGATACACACATGTGGTTATTGGAGGTGATTTCAATCTGCCGCAAATCAACTGGCAAGTGGGTCTTTCTTCAGCACCTCCCTCACACTGTTCACATGGGTTTGTTGACCTGTTGAACGACTCATTTCTGTACCAGCATGTTGACAGACCTACCAGATTTAGACTTGGCGAAACACCTCATACCCTTGATCTAATATTGTCTTCTGAAGAGGCGATGGTTAAGAACCTGGAATACTTGCCTGGCCTGGGCACAAGTGACCATATCATGCTTCAGTTCCAAGTGGAATGCTACTGTCCTCCCACTGAGCCATTGGAGCCACACCTCAATCTCAGCAAGGGCAACTACACACTCTTAAACCAACTCATGTCTGATGTAGAGTGGCCAACAAGTACTTCACAGGACACACATGCTATGTACCTTTTTATCAAGGCCAAACTGTCCGAGCACTCGACCACTTGTATACCCCTTGCCAAGTCCAAACAAAATAATAAGAATATCTACATCAACCACGAAGCCATTCGGCTAAAGAAGCAAAAACGGACATTGTGGTTACAGTACATGCGAACCAGAGATATGCTTGATTACGCCCGCTTCAGCCGTGTACGCAACAAGCTTCGGTCACTCACTCGGAGTCTTCGGGCGAACTTCGAAAGACATCTGGTGAGGAATCTGCGTACGAACGCCAAAGGTTTCTGGCGGTATGCAGGCACTCGACTGCGGACCAAGACAAGAGTGGAGGACTTGAAGGCTGAAGACGGGACGATGGTTCGGGAGGACCGCGACAAAGCAAACATGCTCAATCACTTCTTCCAGAGTGTATTTACGGTCGAGGACCCCGTCCTGCCAGCACCACCACCTGTTTACCCTGGCCCCCCGCTGGACAACATTGACATCAGCACTGGCGCGGTCAGGGAGAAGTTGCTGAAACTCAAGATAGACAGCTCACCGGGACCAGACGGACTCCACCCGCGCATCCTTCGGGAAACGGCCTTGGTTATGGCAGAGCCATGGGCGCGTCTCTTTCGTTCTTCTCTGGACAACTCCTCCTTACCAAGTGACTGGCGCAACGATGAAATCATCCCTATCTTCAAGAAGGGAGTGAAGGACAGCCCTGCAAACTACCGACCAGTGACGCTGACAGCCGTCCCATGCAAGGTCCTCGAGTCATTGGTCCGTGACCAGATGATGTCCTACTTGATCGAGACGGAACAGCTGAGCAACCTGCAACATGGCTTCAGACAGAAGAGGTCGTGCTCCACTCAGCTTCTCGAAACTGTCGAAGACTGGACCCGTGCACTGGAGGAAGGTGACCCTGTGGATGCCCTTTACCTGGACTTTAGTAAGGCGTTTAATTCTGTGCCTCACCAGCGCCTGTTATTGAAGCTCCAATCCTGCGGCATTAGGGGTCGGCTGCTCGAATGGATAAGGGCCTTCTTGACTGACCGACAGCAGCGTGTGTCGATAAATGGGGCAAAGTCAGACTGGGTTCCTGTCACCAGTGGCGTACCACAGGGAACGGTCCTGGGCCCGTTGCTGTTCCTGGTCTTTGTCAATGACCTGCCCGCTTGTGTCTCGTCAGGGCTAAAGTTATTCGCAGACGACACGAAGCTGTACAGAAGTGTCGGCCAGGCTTCAGAGTCGGAGGCTTTGCAACGAGACCTCGATGCCCTGCTCGGATGGTCTGAGAAATGGCAACTTCCTTTTAATCAGTCGAAGTGCAAGTCTCTTCACCTAGGTCCTCGAAACGCCAATCACCTGTACCGTATGGGAGACACTATGTTAGAGCAGACGTTGGTGGAAAAGGACCTGGGGGTCAAGATAGACCACCAGCTCAAGTTCCGGGAACAGGCTGCCGCAGTCGTGGCCAAAGCGTCACACATTCTGACAGTCATTCGTCGATCTTTCGGAGTAATTGATGAGACTACGCTTCCAACACTCTTCCGGACCATGGTTCGCCCCCATCTCGAATACGCCAACGCGGTCTGGGGACCCTTCAACCGAGAAGACCAGAAGCGCATTGAACGGGTACAGCGACGGGCCACGAGACTGGTTGCCAGCATCCGCCACCTGCCATACGAGGAGAGACTCCGGAGCCTGAATTTGCCATCGCTCTACTATCGGCGCGGACGAGGCGACATGATCTCGGTTTACCAGGTGCTTCGACGGGGAGTGGATGTTGACCCATCTCAGTTCTTCACTGCGGCGACGACGACCAGAACTCGAGGGCATGAGTGGAAGCTGTCCAAGCCAAGGGCTGTCTCCAGAGTGCGGCGGAACGCCTTCAGCATACGAGTCCTGAACGACTGGAACTCTCTGCCATCCGCTGTCGTCGATGCGCCCTCAGTCAATAGCTTCAAGGCCAGGCTTGACGAACACTGGGCTCACGCCAAGTACACCATACATTCCAACGACTGATGCAGTGACACACTGACACAAAGCTCGTCACGTCCGGATCCAAGAGGCCAAAAGGCCTTCCTAAATTCCGCATTTTATAAGTATAAGTATAAGTATAAGTAAGCTCTACAAACGAGAAATTTTCTCAATATGACGTCACTAACCGAACGTAAATTTGTGTTTATTTACATATTTCATCCAGCCTTCCATCGATTACAATCAACAAACGGGAAACGATTGCCAAGGCCAAATAAACAAACAAACAAACAACTTCTATGGCCTTGATTGCGTTGATTGCGCCGAAGTATGGGAAAATGGAATATATTGGACGACAGTCGACATGTCTTTTGTGTTTTGTTTGATGTTCTGCTACAAATTCCAAATTTCCAACAATCCTTGATCAGAGAGCACAGCCACGTGTGAGCTGTAGGCATACCGGCTAGCCCGCGAGTTGCTGGGGGGGGGGGGGGGGCGTTAAACGCCCCCACTTTTTTCGCCGGGCCATAGCATAAAAACGGCGCGCCGCAGGCGCGCCAAATTTTGGGTACCTGTAGGGAATTGATTGAAGATTATTGTGACAAAGGTTCAAAAAAATCGGTCGGAAATTTTTTGAGATATCGAGGTTTTAGTGACGTCATGATTTCTGAGTTTTCGACCAAAAACGGCATATGTTCAAAAATCATATAAAATCACAGAATAGTCATACAGACATGCCGTAAACGCCATTAGACTGCCAATGCCATGAACAATGAAATGGCTATCTTCGATTATTGATTATCGTTCCGATTTTTCCAAAATCTTGAACTGAATCTTGGCAATTTCTCGTGACTACTTCACGACCATGATACATGGATTTCTTAAATTGAACTTTTTGGGCCAAACACGTACACATATGATAAAATGAATGTCACCATCGTGTTCTACGCCCCAAATTACCCATAAAACATGTGTCACAGGCTGCGAATATCAGTTTTGATTTTCGGGGATATGTGCCTTCCCGGTTGACCTGACCTTGACCCTGACCTATGCTTGACTGACCCCTACATGGAGCTGACACTCTTGTAGGCCTTATATGATGGATTGTGCACCGTTTTGACAGAGTTTATGACGAGAGGCGCCCATTGCGAAGTCCTGAAGTCAATGCCACTGAAAGCCCGATTTCAGGTGTTTGACCTGACCTTGACCCGACCTGTGACCTCAAAATTCAACTTTGAAGTACTCATCTGAAGCGTCTCGTCGCGTTCTTTCGTTTGCCGCCTCGTGCGTTTCGCTGCGCCTATTGGTTCTAGAGTTATCGGCTGGGGGCGTTTAACGCCCCCCCCCCCCCCAGCAAACGGTAGGTGGCGAAATACCCCAGCAACTGCCGGGCTAGGCAGTAGGCACCAAGTAAAGACAGTTTTTCTGCGGTGAGGCCCGATAGGATGGGAATGACCCTTGGGGAACTCATGCTCAGTGAGAGTGAGTAGAGTGAGTCTACCTCTGCAGACTATACATAGATTGACTATTGAGATAGACCTCCGAAATCCATTTTATCCAATACGAGTACCTAGCCAAGGGCTCCGTCACGACCCGATGGTTGGGGGGGGGGGGGGACGAAAACCGCTTGAAATCGATTCTTTCCATGCAGCGCCCATAAGCATATTAATTAAAAATGTAAAATATTGGGGAGGACAATTGTCCTTACGAGGGGGACTTAAGTCCCCCTCGTCCCCCCCCCCCCGGTGACGGAGCCCATACCAATAGCAGCACAATTTTCTAACCCTTAACCAATAACCTCTCCACCTCCACTGAAGCACAAAATATAGTTTATAATAGTATATTGGGACAGCTGCGGAGCAGCGCTCGTCTGTTTGTTTACAGCGTTAGCAGGTAAATTGTCAAGGTTCTCGACATCAGTCGCTCACGGTATTTCCTTGTATTGTGCAGCTAACATATACTTCCGAGGTCCGGGCAGTTTCACCATTATGAACAAAAGTATCACCATAGCCAGAGCGCCACTGATAGCACACAAATAAGGATTTCTACAATAATACATATTAGGGTCGTAACGCAAAGTTGCGCAACACCGAAACACCGATACCAAAATGCGGTAAGTGGACGAACAATGCCTCCACAGACACACTACAGTAGGGAACGGAAATATGGTTGCTACATTACAAATAACGAATGAATTATGCTGGAAAATGGACCTGATCTAAGCATACAGTGTCTCAGCGAGCTCCGTGATATTTTAGCTTAGTGAATCACTGTGCCGGTAACGAGAGTTGACAACTAGCGGCAACCAGCACCAGCAATATGCAAAGGAATAAGGTAAACGATCTTGCAAATATCCAGCGTCGGCACAGCCGCACATCGCAGCAGGCTATGGCCAGCCAATCATCATTCCCGAATCCCGACGACCGCATACCGTTGTAACTAGTGATGTCAATAACTGAAAATCGAGATACCAATACCAACCAAAACCATGGGAAAATACCAAAAACCGAACAAGCTTGGGAAGGTGAAAGAAATACGAACTTTTTACCAAATTCACTGTTTTTTTTTTACATCAATGAGGATGTAGGATACCGATAGCATACCAAAAACAATTGGATTGATATACCAAATACCAAGATGGTATCGGTATACCAAAAAGTTTGTATCCGATTGACATCTCCAGTTGTAACCTATTATGTGCGACTGCCCATGCCTTCCAACGCAGCTCGAACGGCAGATGACGACAAATAATACAATGATCTCTCGCTACAAAACAGCACATATTCGCTCAACTTAGCGCACATACAAAGAAGTTTCGTGGTTTACACACATATAACCGAACACATAAATAAGCACACTGAGAAGTCTGCATGCTCTGGAAAACCACACACAAGTGTGCCACGCATATACTCTCAATTCTCAGGATACGGATAGAGCAGCTTATTATTTCCAACCTGATTTCAGACCGTACGAGGCGACCCAATAATTGGACTGAAAACCAGCGAGATTCTCGCTTCAATAAACAGAAGCATGTCCGACAACATAACTCAGTTTTCGGCGACATACCTATTATTTGCGACATTCATCAAAAATAAAAACCTAATACGACGATCACCTAGCCATGATAGCATTTACACCATCAGTAAAACAAACATACACCAGATCATTCCTACACAGCTGACAGTAGTATTATAACATAATTCAGTCCGTCTCGAACCAGTCCACATTCATATAAAATGCATTCACATTATTGTCACACATATGGGCCATTCGGTATCAGACATTCCAAGCAGCAATAATTCTTGCTGTAATGGTCCTTCTCTTATTACCGAAGCAGACCTCAAATCGCTCTGGACACATTGTTCCAACACATTTTTTTGCCGAGACCGCCCAATCGTCTCACGTGAGACTTACAGGGTTCTCGCCGTCATGCTGTCCAGCGTGACGCGACTGTCTTTCACGGTCTTCGTACTGAGACCACAAATATATCTCTTACGGTTTCTCCAGTTTCCCCACTGAGACTACACATGTCTCTCGGATTTTGTTTTGAGTTTTCAGATCAGTAGAAGTTTTGAAACTAAAATTCTGTCTCTCGGTTCTGAGATTACATATCTGTCTCACGGGAGGCGCCCGGTATGAGCAGTCGCGTGCTGCCGCCGCTGCTGAGACTGCCCCTACTGGAGCGGCTGGCTGGGGACTCTGAGGCGAGCAGCTGTACCTCAGCTGGACGCGGGCCCACCACAGAGCTCGGCTGGCGGTCAGGGGGGCACCGTCAGAGGGCAGAAGAGGTTATGAGGTGTTTGTGTAGGGGCTGTTGAACAAGCAACGGTCAGGGTGCAGAAAGCAGGGTTGAAGGTCAGACTAGGTCATGAACAGGTGTTATAGGCCGCGGACAGACGGTCAGGAATTGCTTATGATGATGTTTTAGGTTTCAACTTCAGGGGTTATCGGCGCTAAGGACAAGGGTCCGGAGGTTAGCGGTCATGGAGAGACTGGCAAGGATCACGGACAGAAGTTAGGAGTTTAGAATGCAAATGGAGACAGCCAGACAGACAGATGTTATTATAGCCAGAGGCTGCATGTATCTAAGGCCCAGGTCCGAGTCAAGGGCAGAACATGGTCAAGAATCAAACCAGACATACGACTTGCATCATTTAAAATGATAACCACACAATACAACACTGGGATTTGGGACAACGACATTATTCTCAAATATATTCCTCGACTTCATTTTAACTCGCCATCATCCAAAGGAAGCACTGACATGCATATGCATTTTTCGACATATGACTCAACAGACACAGCCTGACTCGCAGTGTCGCGTACCTGATAGCTTCCCAGACGTTTGCTGGGGTCGCTGTCGCCCGTATCGGCTGTGTTCGGAGGAGCCAGGTGGCCCGGGCGACACTGGTCCTCAATGATCTCATCCTCTGTGTCCTGATAGTCCTCCAGCTGCAGGTCTGGGAACGGCGGAACAGCGAGGGTCATCACTTAGCTGTTGCTGCTGTAGATGATTGCTGTTTGCCGTATACCATGTTTTGACTCTGCTAACCGTTTTATTCTCGGACAAATGACACGTAATAGCCACCCTGTTGTGGAGTGTCTGCTGACGGGAATACATACAGACTTGATGTTTAGTATTATGTCATGCAGACTACTTAACACTGAGGAAAAGTGGTATACGATGCAAGGCAGGAAGGCGGGGTTGAGGCAAAATAGAAGCTAGGTAATCTGTGCAAGATAACATGTTCAGTGTTCACCCTGTTGTCTATGTTCAAATTACATCTCTGCGAAAATGCGTCATCAAACACTGAGAGTATTCGTAGGCATCAACCAGCCCATATATCCCTATTCCACCACACTACTCACGCGTCTCATGTTCGATCGGTATGACGGTCACCAGTCGGGAGTTGCGCGCCGCCGCCGATGTCTCAGAGTCTGTAGAGCTGGCCGCTGACGGTTTACGTCCCAGGGTCGCAGGCCGCGGCTCAGTCAGTGACTGTGGCGGCGAACGAGGCGGTGCCGGTGGCGGGGACTCCAGCAGAGAGCGCCGCTCACACTGGGGGAGAGGGGGTGTGACGTTATTGCACGTGATAGGCGGGAGGGGCAGCAAAGGCTATGAGAAAGGGGACGATGAGCTACACTATGTGGTGCACGGATACGCTGATAATTTAAAAAAAATGGGTCATGGCCGTACAAACTGTCTAGACATAAGTCGAAACATTGCTGTAAAACGTTGATCTTATTCGACAAAACGTGAACATGACGTTCACTTACCAACTAAAAACTCTCCCTCTTTCTACTTGGCTTCCCGTACTGCGATTCCCTGACCTCAGCAGCCCCATTCAAGCTCCACAGCTGTGCCTACCTCCTCCGTGTCATCGCCAGCGCCGTCCTCCCGCTTGCCCTTCTCTCTGGACGGAGTACGGGAGCGGTGGACGGCAGAGGTACCGTCCGCTCCTGCTGCCTCCTCTAGCTCGGCACGGCCCCGCTCCTCCAGTACACGGCGACGCACCTTTAGAACAGGGATGGACACTTGGTGGTGCACAGTGCATACACGGTGATAACACGATAAGAATCAAGGGGGTCGTTTAACCGTTTCACAAGTAACGGTGATGATTTACCGAGTCACGAAAGCGCACAGTATTTGTTTGTTGGGCTCATGGATATGATTTGGGAGCGACAAGCTGTGGTCTTGGAACATGCTTACAGTTCTATTGGTATTGCGAGGCGAACGGAAAATCGCATCCATTAAAACCTAAACGTCACATTCTTACATAGAATAAAAATAAAAATAACAAACACACTACCAACATATTATGATAACGCAGAAAATATGACACCACCAACTACACATAAATCATAATATGAAACCATCGGTCACCAACTGGCCACATCTCTGGGATTTCGGACTTGGTTGGCTCACGCGAGTATCGGAATCCGTACCTCCGGCGGCACAGCAGCAGAGGATACCGTGTGCAGACTGTCCCGACTGCTGCGGTCACTGACCGCAGATGGCTGACGTTTTACACCGCCCCTGATGACAGAGAAGCGCAGACTTATATTCAGAACTGGGCGGGGAGATTAGCAAGAGATGAGGTAGAAAATTGCCCAGATAAAACGGCAACTGAGGGAGAGGCCGCAGGGAGGAAGTGGGTTGTTACAAATTTATGCACGAAAGAGGATAGACAGATGGGTAGCTGCGAAACATGTCTAGATTCAACGCAAGAGATACAACAGTTTTTCAATGTCTATTTTTTTCATAATGATATTACCGAAACCAGAGGCCAGTTTTACCAACAGAAAAATAGCCGCCTGCCGGATTTTTTTGGCTAAAGACCGCTTCACATACAGAGCGTAAACACGATGTGCACGTAAGCGGATAGGGCTTTACCCTTTACACTCTGTATGTGAAGCGGTCTTCAGCCAAAAAATCCGGCAGGCGGCTATTTTTCTGTTGGTAAAACTGACCTCAGCACGACCGAAAGCTGATCCCCGCCCCCCAAAAAAAACCTTCAATAAGAGTATTTTAACATTAAAATGATTCATTCTTCATAAAAAAAGTGATTTGGTCATACAGTAATACCATATCGTCGCATCGTCACCGTATTCACATACCGTGATCTGAGCGGGCCGGAGGTGGGTCTGGGCAGTGGCGGCGACCCGGCCGCGTCCCGTCCTGTCGATATCGGACCGTTGAGAGCCTCCACCAGCGTCACCGGCTCATACCCGGCTGGAATTCCGTCAGAGCCCTGAGGGAAGACAGGGAGACACCATAATATAGTCAGAGCCCTGAAGGAAGACGGGGGAACCGATATACCGTTAGAGCCCTAGGGAGACAAGGAAGCCCAGATACCGTTAGAGCCCAGAGGGAAGACGGGGATACACCAGAATATAGTCAGAGCTCTGGGGGAAGACGGGGAGACACCATAATATAGTCAGAGCCTTGAGGAAACGAGGAAAGACCGGAATATAGTCAGATCCCTGAGGGAAGACGGGGGAAACCGAGATATATTCAGAGCCCTGGGGAGACGGAGAAACCGAGACACCGACAGAGTCCCTTGGAGACGGGGAGACTTAAATAATATAGTCAGAGCCCTGAGGAGAACGGGGGAACCGCTACCGTCAGAGCCCTTGGGAGACGGGGGGGAGACTAAACTACAGTCAGAAGAGTCCTATGGAAAACGGGGGAAGGCGGCCGAAATATAATCCGAGCCTTAGGAAAGACAAGGAAAGACCATAATACAGTCAGGGCCATGGGGAAGACGGGAAAATACCGAGATACAGTCGGAGGACGACCATGAGGAGATGGGGAGAGCAGGCCGGAATACAAGCGGGCGCAAAGCCGGAATACAGGCCGGAGTACAGGCCGGATTCAGAGTCCTGGAGTGAGTGGGGAGACGGAAAGACACAGTCAGGGCCCTCGGGAGGACGGGGAAGACGGTCAGAATATAGCGAGAACCCTGAGGAGACGTTGGAAGAGACCGGAATACACACTACACAGCCCTGGAGGAGACAGGGGACCACCCAGAATATAGCAAGCGCCTGGGAAGGCGGGAGAAGCTGTTAGACACGTATATGTATAATTATTCATTTAGGATATACCCTGGAAAGGATAGATCGCTGACCAGTAGTCTGCACGCTGAGATGCGTCAATAACTGGACGTTCACAACAATAACTGGTATTGAGCAAGCATGATAAAGAGTGTAGGAAAATGTAGAAGGGTTGAGCAGTATTGAGTTCGGGCCATTGGTGCTGTAATACATTGCTTTGCGCGGATCCATTGAAAGTTGATTACAGAGTCGCTTACTGATGACAGAAATAAAACAAGGCAAAGTTTAAAAAACGACAAGTCCTATCACAAAAGACAGTAGTGCCGCTACGTAGATCAGTTTGAGAAGGTTAATTATCATCAATTCATCAGGACTAACCTCAGTGGCTGGCGGTGCCGGAGCCCCCGGAACGGTCCTCTGAACTGCCCTCAGCTGGAGCAGGGCACGGAACGGAGCCCTGCAGGACACCACACATATCACAGTCAGCATCCCAATCATCACTGTTATTATCACAGTAACCTTTGTCAAAATCCGTCGATGGCGTGTCTCTGGTACCACTGCATTTCGTCTGTCATCACTGAAGAGACTTATTTTTATGCTCGGGTAACCGATACAATTCAATCCACCCACAGCTCTTCTTCTTTCGGCAATGTCCGCCTCTAGCGACCATTCCATTCCAACCCCCGCCTCCATCGGTACTTCACTTCTCTCTCAGTGTCTTTGCGCCTCTCTTGATGACCCACACCTCTCAGTTAATTCCCCATTCCCTCCCTTTCGCTCCCTCCCTCGCTCACTTCACTCACTTGGAGAGTTATTTGCTTTGCTCACTTACCGACAGATAGGACAGTTGTTGGCTTCGTTCGCTCACCGACAGATAGGACAGTTGTTGGCTTCGCTCACTTACCGACACTAGGACAGTGGTTGGTTTCGCTCACTTACCGACAGATAGGACAGTTGTTGGCCTGATATCTGAGGTGATCCGCGCAGCAGTTACACACACACAGATGCCGACACGGTAGGATCAGTGTGTCACGCAGGTCTGACATGCAGATAACGCACTCTGCACCAGAGTCTTCGGTGTCCTCATCGACACTCTGTGGGGGAAAGAAGAGCACTGCGTTACCAGACACTTTGCCAAGGCAAGTTTCATAATAGGCATAGAGTTAACTACTCTGTATCATTATGAAAAGGTACAGGTATAAACTACTGTATAGCATTATCAATACAGTCACTGGTAGTCCCCATTCTTTCAAGGGGAAAGAGACATAGGAAAAGCAGGAGACACGGTCAATGAGTTGGGCAGGAGACGAGTTCAGAGACGATATGTTTCACAGCAACAAAGGGAAAATTATGCAAGAAAACAGGAAGTACCAAAGGCAGACAAAAAAACATATTCCACAAACCATAATGTCACGGACGAGTTACCTCGTTTTGCTTACATTACGCACTATTTTTCCCACAACTCACCTTATTGTCGACGAGTTTGTTCTCGATCCCATAGATCTCCTGCAGGAGGAACACGAGCCCGTCGATGTACTGTTTCTGCTTCAGTGGCTTCAGCATGAACGAGCCGTCCGACAGGCGGTCCACCACTCCCGTCGTCACGTGGCACTGGTGCGGCTCTGAGGGTCAGGTCACGTTACAGGTCAGCGTCGCGAAGGATCAGATCAGTGTACTATCTCTCAGGAATCTTGAGCGTGCTTACAAGCGTGCTTACAGGTAATGACAATCCGCGAACAAGTAACTGCCGTGAACTGTCGGCCCATGGGCCTCCATTGACAACTTCAGGGCTAGACTATTGCTGGGCAGTCACTCATTACGAGTACGCTCGTATTCAGCCAGCCCCCAAACGGCTCTGAAGAGACCTAGACACAACAGCTAAGGCTCCTTTGACACCTTCGCTGATCAGTTCGCACATTTTTCAAGTTGCTTCGCGAGTTCGTCGCTCTTGTCATTTCTGTGAACGGTGAAGGTAGAAGTGCCCGAGGTTGTTCTACTCGTAGGTATATACTATGTGCCCGAGTACGCAAGCAATCTTGCGAGTACCTACTATCCATTAAAGATCTAAGTGATTGCTTCAGGCCGACAGCTGTTGAGAGTCTGAGACATTAAAAAGTCACCCACATACCATATCTTATGGCTGAACATTGGATAGAACGAACCCAAGATTCCTTTACTACTCAGGTTGGTTCACTAGGGAAATAAAGGCGCCGTGGTGACGTCATCAGAGGAAATCCTTCACGTTCAAATGAAGGGGTCATTAGAATTACTGATTTTGGCTCGATATAGTCCTATTTTTTAGTTTCAGCCCCATTTATCGTAATGAGTCGAACTCATTGTTACGTTGGTACAACTTTTGATGACACATAATCCTTGTTTTTTTTTTCTCTCCAGCTCGCTCGAAAGATGATGAAATTTGCATGCATGCCTATGGGTGAAGAGTAATTCTACCGCCGTGATGACGTCACGGTAAAGGGATTCTGGAGCTCGTGAACGGGGACTGGAACGACCCCCCCCCCCCCTTTCCTCCCCCGAGTGCCAGCAGTGAAGAGACTCTCTTGACGGCAACTCTGTCTACTCTAGTGTCCATGCATCTAGGCAGGACCCAACAAGCACCGGGTGCGTAACAAATACAGTAGCTACAAGAACAACTGAAGCGGCAGCTCGGTACTTGAAGACGTCAATACGTTTCGATTCCTCATTCCAGAGACCCATGGTGTGTCAAAAGTGGAAATAGCCGGTGCGCCGTCTGGCAACCCGGCAGCCCGCCGCCATAGGGAAATTCGTGCTTTTTGTCGCTTTTACGCTCCTTATGAGTCACTTGATCTAATTAGAGCTTAACTAGGAACGAGGCGGGTCACTTGGACGTATTCGGGAGCCGAATACGGTGTTTTGGAGCCAATACCTGGGAAACCCTACCCGCCCAATGCGAGTTTTTAAGAGTCTGCATGCCCAAATTAACGTTGAGCGCGGCCGTTTTAGGTCGGTTTTCCGCGACCTTGTGGCAAAATCGCCTTATTTATTTAACCAGGGTGGGCTAATTCGCTTAACTAGGAATGAGGCGTTGAAGAGAATTATTCCAGGAATAGAGCTGTGCAAAAATATTTTTTGTATTGTTAAAACTGTATCCGCCCTCGAACGATAAATATTGTTGACCCATCAGAAACACATCCCCTGGAATGCGTTTGAACTTGGCTGGATCTAATATTAGCGAGTATCTGCTAATGCAGTTTCTTGGCTTACACAGTACGCACACAAGCATACATACTTCCTGCCCTTGGTTATTCCTCACTTGAATGAAAATTTTGCTATAATAACTGTTCCAAGCAGTTAACAGGTTTTAGTGCAGTGCCAAGTCGGAACCGTTCAGCGCCGCCAGTCTCCCAGGCGGCGCGTAACGGGCGCCGCCGGCCGCCGCGCCGCCGCTCTGGCAGGGTGTTTGACTTCATATCTCTGTTGCTAGAAAAGTTGTGGACCGATTTACTTGATTCTTGCATGAAAAGATCCGCCATTCAATTCTTAGCAGATAACGAAAATTTGACGTCAATTGCACGATCCGCTGCCCATATTGTGGTACTGCCATCTATTGAGAAGGCTGGCGAACTAAAGCCGGGCGGCTATTTCCACTTTTGACACACCATGAAATGGAGTTCCTAAAACTCGGGTTTCGATAGTAACGTGGAGCGCATCAAGAGTGGTGTTAAACACTCGGACCCCTTTCACCAGCTGTTTCCGTGGTGTAGTGGTTATCACATCCGCCTAACACGCGGAAGGTCCCCGGTTCGATCCCGGGCGGAAACAGTCGTTTTGATGTCACCCAACGAGATCAGAGTAAGAGGGCAAACGGCCCGAAGCGATGCCCTCAACCGCGATCTCAAGCACACGTCTGGCCCGCCACCCGATGTCATAGTTACCTTGCTTGGCATGTCAATTGTCAACCTTTCAGAAATTCCTGAACGATCTACTTGTAGGAAAATGACCCTGAGCAAAACCCGTTATGTAAAGCAGCGATTTCGACGCTACGATGAGCCAGAACAATCATGAAGCATAAAACGTGCCAGTAGGCAGTAATGAGCAAAAACCCAAAACCACTGTTTCCGCCCGGGATCGAACCGGGGACCTTCCGCGTGTTAGGCGGATGTGATAACCACTACACCACGGAAACAGTTGTACTGAATATCCACTCCCAGCCAAGTCACCAAAGCACCTGAGTTCACTCACCTTCTCCCTCCTCTGACGTACAGACGACCACCACGGGATAGAGCTCGCTGTCAGAGTTATAGGAGAGCTCGGCGTCACTGTAGAGACCCGGCTCGAACGTGTGGTTCGGCTGGCAGAATGTCTGCGCAGCGCCACATTTGTAGCTGTATGTCTCTGATGACATGCCTGGGTCACGAGGCCGGTATCTATAGGGGGAAGGGTTACAAATTACTCATTACTTTCTGCAGAGCTGGGAATTCTGTGTAGTGAGCACCTTATAGGTGTCCCATACAGAGTACTTGAAAGACACCAACCCTAAGCTTTCATAACCAAATGGGTGAAGATGAGTTAATGAGAAACCAGTCAAGAAACCGTGGCATTGGACATCATCCCACAAAACTTTAACTGCAGACAAAATGAGCAGAAAGTCAGCCACCACAAGCCTAATCACGATGTCAATGCTCGAGACTTGTCGAAACCCAGCAGACAAACTACTGACCCAGCAAATCCAATACCCTTTCATAGCCAAGTCCATCGCACCGCTCCATCCCCAGACATACTCACACAAGTCCATGACGTGTCATCTCCTCCGTACAAAAATAGTGCACGGTGATGGTACAGCGCACGTCACTGTCGAAGGTGAACTCGATGTTGAACTTCTGCCGGCCGGCCGGTGAGTCCGCTTCAGTCGGAAGTCGCACCAGGCGCAACGAGTCCTTGCGGATGTTGACAACCGACTTCAGTGTCTTGGACGGTTCGTTGGGAGGTGGCAGCGCGTACGGAGACTGCGGGAGGGGGGAGGGAGAAAGTCAGAGTAGGTAGACATTGGGAACGAGAAAATTGTCAACAACGGAATACAAAAGCAAGATATTTTTAAGCTTGATGAAAGCGTTCGTCCCGTAGCTCAGTTGGCAGAGCGTTGGACTCCCGGCAGTGACTAGAGCCCGGGTTCGAGTCGCTCATGTGCTCAATGTGATATGATCGCTCATGTGCTTCAATATGAGACTTCTAACGGGGGTAGCCGCGGCCAGTTGATGTTCATTTGTTTGATAGGACAGACCATGTCCGCCGTCCGGCTTTGATGGGCGCGTTAAACTTTGACATTTAAATTCCCCGGTTGTCCAGAATTGCATGATCGGACGGAAGAGGTCACAGACTACACAACAGGCCCTGTTGGCCAACAAACTGATCAAGCATGTCAATACGTCTGTTCAGACAATCCAGGTCAATTCGAAACAAATGCCACAGTTCAAATTCAAATACACCCTGGCAACTCGTCTCGCATGTGCTATAGTAACTCACCTGTGCTGGCTTGCTGCTCAGGAAGTTCAGGTCGCTGTTCTCCCCAAACAGGTATGCCTCTGGCTGTGGTGTCTCAAACTTCTCTCCACCCATTATGAAATGGGTGCCAAAATAATTGCCTGAAATAAATGTGATGAGCTGTAAAATTTCACCACACCATGAGAATATCCATAAAACACTATATCTCCATGGCCATGATACACAGTGATCTATGTACTATCAAATGAGGGAGAAAAAACATAGCACCAAAAGGTCCTGGACTGCTGGGCACTGAAGAATTACACCTAGCAAAATACCCTCAGATGTTTTAACATACCAAAACCTAGGTAAGTAATGTCCCAAAAAAATTGTTATCAGTCAATTTTTAGCATCCATAGCTTGATAAAGGTCTTCATTGGTGCATACTGCATACCAAAGACCTCTGTCACTCTGTGTATGTATACCTATCTCAACAGACGTTGGTAGGCATTTGTATGATACCTTTCTCTCATCAGACTCTGCTGAGTAATTACATGAGTGGATACTACTCACCAGACTTTGGTGGGTACTTGTAGGAGTGGACATGTTCAGCATCCAGCTCTTCCGTGGTTCCCTCCTGGCGACTTGTCAGGGAACCCATGGTGACTGGGTTCACAGAACTTCACTGACCAATTACCTGTCTACTCACTACTGCACCTATAATGGTAGACACAGGTTAACCCGCGACCTGGTGGGGGGGGGGGGGCTATTTTTGGGGTTCCGGACAAAAAGTCAAATGATAAAAGGTAAAAGGATGATTAGTCAACAGACATTACGTCAAAAGCACGAAGTCAAAAATCTTAAAAGTCAACAGGTAAAAGGTCAACAAAGAGGAAAGTCAAAAGTCAAAAAGTCAAAAAGGATAAAACGTCAAAAGATAAAAAGTGAAATTGCCAAAAGTCAATGAACAAAAAGCCAACTAGCATAGAAGTCAAAAGACAAAAAGTCAAATGGACATAAGGTCAAAAGACAAAAAGTAAAAACGGCAAAAAGTCAAATTGCCAAAAAGTAAAAAGAACAAAAGTCGAAAGACAAAAAGTGAACATGACATAAAGTCAAAATCCAAAAAACCAAAAGGACAGAAAGTCAAAAGGACAAAAAGTCAAAAAACAACAAGTCAACCGGGCATGAAGTCAAAATAAAAAGTCAAAAGTTCAAAAAGTCAAAAAGACATATAGTCAAAGTCCAAAAAGTCAAAAGGACAAAAAATCAAAGGGACAAAAAGTCAAAAGGACAAAAAGTGAAGAGGACAAAGGTCAAAAGACGAAAAGTCAACAGAACATAAAGTCAAATTACGAAAAAATCCAAAGGACAAAAAGCCAAAATCAAAAAACTCAAAAGGACAAGTCAAAGAGACAAAGTCAATGACACCTGGATCATCAGTCATTACATACAGGGTGTCCCAGAATTACCCGGACATTGTTAATTAGCGTATAAAATAAGGCAAACATGATTGCGCTTTTTTCTTTTTATCGTCCTACATAGTCAACTAGGGTGGCTGTGACATAGCACATGTAATAGATACGCTTGTTACAAGATCAGCCGACAATGATTGAAAATGCCAGCCATTGCTGGTCTCAGTTGTTTTACGGCTCTCCCGAAACTGGGTGAAGGCCTGTTTTCTTTGACCTGTTGCCGGAGGATAATACGATCATATAAGATAAACTTAACATCAAAGTGTTCCCAGGTCATAAGGCATTATCCCCCAAAACAAAAATTGCTGCCTACACCACTTTTGCCGCGTTTTTTACATCTGAAGTCGAGAGGCTCCATGTCTGAACATGGCGGGACCTTTGGCTTCCAACAGATTTGGTTTCCAAAAAAACCCGTTCATGGCCATTTGGTTTACGGCATCCAGTTTTTTTACTGGTAGAATATGACCGCAGTAGTACTCTGTGCTAACGGCTGTCGTTGGGCCATCATATCAAGCCGAATGAGTGCACGGTGGCTCAAAATGTCTCACAATTTAATTTTCGACGTGTGCCTGGCCGTCTCTGCTGTTGGGGCGTTGTAGCCATCTGACGTTCACACACGCCTTTTTCGGGCGGTTCAAATGACAGAATACCTTCATTAGACCATAAAGTGTGCTTCAATATAATTTTTTGTTGTATATGTTATATATTTGGGATGAATTGTAGTGATTTTCGCTGCTTTTCCCGTAGTTTTCGCATATTTTTCAGGCGAGGGACCCCAAATTCCAAAATTTTGCGAAGATAGTGGTGGAAAGTAGACTGATGTTCTTTAGATAATCCTGATCTATCGTTTAGCTAGTTTTTAGCTAGATCAGTGACGTTTGTTGTCCATGACAAGCAACCACCCGTTTGACAACTGGTGCATGACCCTTTTTGGCCGAGCCCAAGCTTGTCAATCAGGTTTATCTCTTGCTCTCTCTGGCTTCGTTAGCTGATATAATTGCGCTTTGCTCAATTCTAACTGCTTGCAGATGAGCTGCTGAAGCTCTCCAGCAAAAACCATGCCGAAAGTCCGTTTACAAAGTTGAAAACGGGAGTTGATTCACCATGGTTGCCTATTAGTGGCTTAAGCTGAAAACGGAAAAGGACTACTCTTACTTGACTCTGGATAATACTTGACTCGAGTCGTTACCGGTCACCAAAAGCACACAGTCCCCAAGCTCGATAGCTAAGGGATATCTTATAAAAGTATGATGCTTGTATATCATTAGAATCGAGCGCAATCGTACTTTTAGCCAGAAAATAAATGTCCGGGTAATTCTGGGACACCCTGTACATGAGATAACATTTACAAACAGCTGTACACAATTAAGCAGGATGCTGCACAATATAACCTGCATCATTGGACATTGAAGCGAGACTGCCTCCATTGCACGACTGACAACTGGTGCATGACCCTTTTTGGCCGAGCCCAAGCTTGTCAATCAGGTTTATCTCTTGCTCTCTCTGGCTTCGTTAGCTGATATAATTGCGCTTTGCTCAATTCTAACTGCTTGCAGATGAGCTGCTGAAGCTCTCCATGGCCCGCAACCGCGACTCAGCTGGTCACACGGGCATGCTTGGCTGAAATCTGACACACATCCGTTGACACGTGCTAGGTGGGAGCTCGCTCGCATCGTAAGGTTGTCATGAGGCAGCGTTACATGATCCTTCGAGACAACTGACTGTCCCAGGCGCAGTTTACTGGAATTATTTCAACAAATATAGTAGCCCGGAATGTTATCGATACGAAAAGTTTCGCTTGTTCAAATTTCCTATATTGTGTAGGGAGACGTTTCTCATCAATTGATTCCGTCACGGGTTCTATTAGCGATTTCACACTTTTATTATAGTTCAAGCGTATTGTATGGTACAATTGGTACAATAGTAAAGCGCGTCGTTTCTTTTAAATCACCGTTCCATGCTTCTATCCTCAGGATACGGAAATCCTTCTCCTCCACGCCGCAACCCCCTCCGGGCTGGACAGGCAACTTTATCTCATGCGGGCTGCTGGAGCGGCACCGCTGCTCCCGAGGGAGCGCACCCCGTAGCCGGGTGCAGTGAGTACCTTGGGGCTGATCGGCCTGTCCTTCGGGATGGGCTCAGCCCCGGTGACTCACTAGGATGCCTGCCCAGACCAATGTCTCCCCCTAATTCCTATCATCCTTCCGGCTCTGAAATGGTCTAATTGGACCGAAAGGGCCTAACCCAACAAAACAAAACAAATTTCTTTTAAATAGGTGGAAGTTGGAACGAGAGGCAATGGTGTGATTGTCGGATTGTCCTGCCTTGAAAGGAACGCTCATATCAGCATCAACAGACAACAACCTGTTAATATTCACGGACTGCATACAATTAAGGTGACCAATTTTCATCGAAAGGTACGGACTGCATACAATTAAGGTGACCAATTTTCATCGAAATGTATAGGTCAATTAAGTTATCGAGATGCGATTGCTAAAAACACAATTTTTTAGGACCTCGGAGCTGTGACGTCCAAAGAGAGGTGACAAGTATTAGCGCATTGTGGCCACTAGTTACTGTCCCTCTCCTTCATCTTCGCCTCCGCCCTACGTCTCCTTATCGGAACTGCCCCCCCCCCCCGCCACCAGCAGGCACAGTACGCCAACTTTATATAGATAAGTTCACATTCCCAATATACTTTTTAAAGCAAAGTAAAAATAGGTAGGAGCGTTCTTATCGGTAGTGTCGGGGCACGCACGGGGACGCGCCGAGACTCTCTATGCGGTGCAGCCGGCGCCCAGCGGGCGGCGGCCGGGGATCAGGTGGCCCGGCGCGGGTCAGTCGCCGACCGGAGACGCGGGCTGCGGCGTACTTGTACCGACTTAGTTAACGACTGCTGTTGAAGACTACTTTTTGCTGTTGACTACATTTTGCGCATCAACTTTTCGCGCACCTATAAACTATTTGCTTGTTGACTTTTTGTGTGTTGACTTTTAGCGTGTTGACTTTTAAGCATGTTGACTTTTAGCGTGTTGACTTTTAGCATGCTGACCTTTCGCGTGTTGACTTTTAGCGTGTTGACTTTTAGCGTGTTGACTTTTAGGCGTGTTGACTTTTAGCGTCTTGACTTTTTGCGTGTTGACTTTATGCGTGTTGACTTTTAGCGCGTTGACTTTTTGACATGTCGGCTTTTTGTCTCTTTGACATTATGTCTTTTGACTTCTTGCGTGTTGACTTTTAGCTTGTTGACTTCTGGCGTGTTGACTTTTTGGCAGGTTGACTTTTTGTTCATTTGACATTTTGTCCTTTGACTTCTTGCGATGTTGACTTTCTGTCTGTTGACTTAATGTCCTTTGACTTTTTATCCGTTTACTTTTAACGTTTTGACTTTTCATCCGGGTTGCCCCCCCCCCCTCCAGACTTTTCGATATATCTCCAGAACCGCTGCGCCGATCGTCACCAAACTTTCAGTACCCTCCCGGACATCAATTTTACATATGGTGACCAAAATTTTTTCCAAAGGCTATGATAGGTTGGCCGGAAATGACGTCAGAGTGACGTCATGTTCTGCCGTTTTCGACCCAAAAAAGGGTTTCGCGGGAAGAGCTGTCAGGCCTATAGCTTTGCAAATACAGAAAAATGATAAGGACATAAGAGCTGTAAAATTGACAGGGTAACAAAACCGCTATCTCGGATTTTTGAACTTTTTGGATTTTGACCCCCAAAAATAAAAAAAAGTTTTTTTTTGGATATAATGATCGAAAAATCCAAAAAGTTTTTTGAATTTCGCAAAAACCGGAATATATGTGATAGTCCTTATCGCCTTCATCCACATACCAAATTTAAGATTGATACCTCTTTTTTTGGCGAAGTTATAGCGAAAAAAACTGTTCAAAATTGATGACGTCAAATTTTCAAGCTCAATTTTTAGCAATTCTAGACCCCGTAGCGCAAAACAAAGACCACCATTAGACTCCCCGTGACGAGCTGCATCGAATCAATACCCATTTTATGCAAAACTATCAACTTTAAAATTTGACCTTATTTGGCCTGACCTTGACCTGACCTTGACCTGAGCTTCACCAGAAAGTGACCTAAGCCGTACCTGATAGTCTTATAACCCGGCAGTTGCTGGGGTATTTCGCCACCCACCGTTTGCTGGGGGGGGGGGGCGTTAAACGCCCCCAGCCGATAACTCGAGAACCAATAGGCGCAGCGAAACGCACGAGGCGGCAAACGAAAGAACGCGACGAGACGCTTCAGACGAGTACTTGAAAATTGAATTTTGAGGTCACAGGTCGGTCAAGGTCAGGTCAAACACCTGAAATCGGGCTTTCAGTAGCATGGAATTCAGGACTTCGCAATGGGCGCCTCTCGTCATAAACTCTGTCAAAACGGTGCACAATCCATCATATAAGGCCTACAAGAGTGTCAGCTCCATGTAGGGGTCAGTCAAGCATAGGTCAGGGTCAAGGTCAGGTCAACCGGGTAGGCACGTATCCCCGAAAATCAAAACTGATATTCGCAGCCTGTGACACATGTTTCATGGGTAATTTGGGGCGTAGAACACGATGGTGACATTCATTTTATCATATGTGTACGTGTTTGGCTCAAAAAGTTCAATTTAAGAAATTCATGTATCATGGTCGTGAAGTAGTCACGGGAAATTGTCAAGATTCAGTTCAAGATTATGGAAAATGCGGAACGATAATCAATAATCGAAGATAGCCATTTGATTGATCATGGTATTGGCAGTCTAATGGCGTTTACGGCATGTCTGTATGTCTATTCTGTGATTTTATATGATTTTTTGAACATATGCCGATTTTGGTCGAAAACTCAGAAATCATGACGTCACTAAAACCTCGATATCTCAAAAATTTTCCGACCGATTTTTTTCAAACTTTGTCACAATAAACTTCAATCAATTCCCTACAGGTACCCAAAATTTGGCGCGCCTGCGGCGCGCCGTTTTTATGCTATGGCCCGGCGAAAAAAGTGGGGGCGTTTAACGCCCCTCCCCAGCAACTCGCGGGATAACGAACACTATTGATGGAGTTAAGTGCTTGTGCGAGGAACATTGTAATAGTTATTTGAAAATATATAAGCATGACCTTTCCTCGATATTGAATAAAAAAGTGCCGAAACAGGTACTTTATTGACAGAAAATATGTGATTATCTTGAATATGTTTATCTTGATTATATATGTTCGACAAAGGCCAGTGGCCGAAATATCACATATTTTCTGTCAATAAAGTACATTTTTCGGCACTTTTTTATTCAATATCGAGGAAAAGTCATGCTTATATATTTTCAAATAATTATAACCAACACCATTGAGTTGGAAATGAAAAATTGGCCATAAAACATGCATCACACAACCTTAGTAAAGTTGGGCTCATGTGACCTGACCTGTGACCCTTGGTGACCTGACCTGTGACGTGACCTGGTATAGTCAGTGACCTCTAATAGCAACATATCTACTAGGCAACTGACGCCCTATCGCTGATTCTCGACAAAATGCGTTTTCCTCGGTGTTATAGCGCATTCCCTAGAAGACCCGTGAACGGTGAAACATTTCATCTTTGACCTGCCCTGTGACGTCATCGGTGACCTCGAGGTCAATGAAACTTGGTTTCCTTCGACAAATTTGACAGGCCTTTCAAACGCCGTTTGAATTTTGCGGATCCGTCCAGTAGTTTCGGAGATACGAGAGGGGGCAAAAATAGCCCCCCCCCCCCACCAGATCGCGTTATAAACAGACCCCACCAGGGCGCGGGTTAAAACTTGGACAAGAAAACACCTGATAACGTTGATCCATAAGCCATTCTATTCTTAACTATATCACTTCAAATATAATCGTTCTTCACTAACTTCCTGCAAATAATCAATCTTTAAGATGACTTATTATGTTAAAAAGTAAATGGCACTGCCAGAAAATAAAACAAGAACAGGCACACATAACCATACACCACCATTACCATTTAGCAGCATCAGCTGACTTATCCAATATGACTGTGCACACCCAAATTTCATGGAAAAAATATTCACTGGTTTTCAAGATATTAGACTTTTACTTTTGTTTACTTTTTGGGATCTCCTCTGTTCCTAGCGACTTCAGCTGAAAGTGCGGCACTTGTTGCACGCAAAGCAGCATATACCACCGGGCACCGTGTGCGCCGTGCTACCAGGCGTTTTAGTAAAAAAATTAAAATCGTTCGATCTGTACCGACGTCACACATTCAGAGGGGGCATTCTAACGCATTAGCCCCTCTGAATCCAAGTGCTGCAACTCTGAAATTAGAAATTTTTGATTTGAAACATTTCTCGATCTTGTGAGTGCTCAAACTGGTAAGTGCATGCCAGGGACCCCATTTTGGCTATCTCAACTCAAAACTACTATTATTTATAATATACACTATGGATGGTCTGTAAAAACATTTGTGATGAGCGAGAGTGGAAGTAGACTGGTGTGGCATATTCGATATACAAAACTCAGATTAAACATAGAATATGTCGAAGGGAAACCTATATGCCAAATTATGTGGTGTCATGTAGCACAATTTTTTATTGATCTGCAACTTACCTACAAAGCACCTCCAATGCCACCAATTTATACAAAATTAAGCCAATGGCTATTAACTGTTTTTCTTCACTGTTGACCTGACTCGAAGTCACTGAGACTTAAATAGGAATATATGTAAGAGATGTTCCATATGAATAAGGCAAATAAATTAAATTTGGTGGTGCTACATGCCTCTTTTAAGCCACCTTGGAGGAGGTTGCGTTGCAGTGCAGATTGATGCTCTGGCTAAGTGAGAGAGCCCAGTAGGTTTGCTTGGGTGTTTTATAGGTTTAAATTTTGGTTAGCTAAGATATGTTTTTCAAGTTTTCGTGCAAAAAGTATCATAAATATGTAGATATGCTAACTATGGCGCAACAGTGACATTTGCCATGCACAGCGACGTGTGCAAACGACTTCATTTAATGGACAAATTAAGTGATAAACATCAAACCAGGCTCAACAGGTACAAACAAATACCGGAATTTTGCAAAAATCCACACAAACCCCACGCAAACACACAGCGCACAACACAAACCTTTCAGTTTGTTTATAACAAATCCAGGCCCATGTCACTCCACTTTTGATGACATCATAAGGGGGCCTCAGGACAATTAATGGCGCGGTGCGCCACAATCGCTCCCAAGCTACTTACCAACAGCTGCCATTTTTGAAAATACTTTTTTGAAATAAAGTTTCAAGTAATGAAAATATTGTAATAAAGTTGTAGCTTAAATCTATACCATATCTAAAAACTAACTGAAAAATGATTTATTCATAGTAAAAATATAAGCTCGATGCGTTTTTACGTTGCTTTCCTGCTGCTGCAGAGGGTTTTTAAATCGTCTATATCTTAAAAACCGGCCATTTCTTAGCATATTGCTACTCTTTTTTGTCGCTGGAAAATTGGCTGAGCTTTCGATTGCCATCAACGGTTGAGCGGTATGTGTAGAGTGCCATCAATAATCTTGAAATGAAGTTAGTCATTTTTACGTTGTAAAGGAATGGAGTACCCCTTGCGAGCATCAGGGGTGACGTCACTCAGGATCTGTCTCTGATTGGTCGGCGGGGGAGTGACTGTACCTTCTATAGATGGCCTTGAACAAATCAAGGCCATATATAGTATAAAACAAATAAGCCATGTGTTCAATTCCTATTCCGTTTTGTCAACATAAGTACTTCACCACTGGTTGACCAATCACATCGCTTTGTCCTTGAGCAATCATACATCCGCGAAACTGGCGCTGTATATGGATTTGGATAGGCAGACAGCTGAACCAGTGACCAAGGCCAGTGACAACTGAACCATGGATGAAGGAGAACCATGGATGAAGGAATGGATGAAGGTTCTTTCATCCATGACTGAACCAAGGACAACTGAACCAGTAAAACGAGTAAAACTGAGCCAGGGACAGCTGAACCAGTGACAACTGAACCAGTGGACAACTGAACTCCTGTTGAACTCACCTGTTAGGTTTCCTTGCTCATTGCCCAGATGGTGGTAGGGTTATTAGAGACAGGAAACCGTGTCGAAGAGAGACGTGCCAACCCGGACAATAGATAAGCAGGACATTCAGAACTGGACTGTGCAATTGTTAAGGGTTGGAATGGTACTGAAAGGAGAACCAACCAGAAACAACTGAACCAGAAACAACTGAACCAGTGAGAATTGAAGAAGTTTTACCTAATTTTAGGTCACCGATATCAAAATTTCGAGATTAATGTTTAAACATGCTGTTATTCCTATCAATCGCTGAAGTTCTTAGGTAGGTAATCGTTCAGTCAGTGTAGCTATGCCGAGCATTCTGACTTTTTCTAAGACGAGGTCAATTCGCCGGATCTATTGGTCTTCTACATACCTATGCCCCGGCCGAGGAATGGGGTACCTATACCGAGAGGGGTAAACGATCTCCCTCACGCGCGTGACACCCCTAATCAAGCTAGAGCCTCGCGGGGGAAAACGACGAGCGTGTGCGCACCGCTATGAGACTCAGCGATTGGTGGTACCCGAGTTTAAGGTCTCAGGTCAACCGGTTACCTCTGAGGTCAGGTCAAGTTGATGAAAACACGGGTACGGTTTTGGGTTAACCCTCGCCCCGCTGGGGGGGGGGGGCAATTTGGCTCCCCTGTGGTTTTTCCTGAATAGCAAAATAACGGCGGCGCGCAGCGCCGCCAAATTTTCAGTAACTTCCCGGGCATCAATTTGACACCATCACACAAAATTTCAAGTCTTAGGTCACCTTAGGTCAGGAGTTATTGAGGTCAAACTGAGGTCATGTTCGAGCAAAAATGAACAAAAAACATACAATCTTTAGACGCTCACCAAAGCTAGAGTTACCAAGCAATTTCAAAGTTCTTTACATGGTCATGTAGACAAAAAGCGGCGCTACAAAACTGATATCTCGGATTTTTAAAATTATGGGTTTTTGACCCCCAAAAATTCATAAAATTGATTTTTTTTTTAGAAAAACTCAAAAAATTTCCTAACATTTTTCGAATTTTGAAAAACGGAATATATGTGATAGTCCCTGCGCTCCTCTATATACATACCACATTTTAGATCGATATCTCCTTTTTTGGTCAAGTTATAGCGAAAAAACTGTTTAAAATTGATAAATCAAATTTACGTCAAATTTTTCACTCAATTTTTAGCAATTCTAGACCACGTAGCGCAAAACAAAGACCAATTTTATGCAAAAATATCAACTTTGAAATTTGACCTAATTTGACCTGACCTTGACCTGACCTTGACTCGACCTTCACCAGAACATAATCTAAACTGACCCCAAATGCTGCCTGACCCTGATAATCGTATTTGGCATATAAAATGGACCATAAAACATGCATCACATGATATTTTCATATTGTGACCCTCAGTGACCTGACCTCTGTGCATAAGCGTAGGAACAGGGGGGCCGGGGGGGCCATGGCCCCCCCACTTTCGGAGGTGGGGGGGCCAGCAATGTTAACTGGCCCCCCCACTTTTTGCTGACATAAGTGTCTGTCTGTACCTAACCTACCACCCGGTAACTTGACAACATTCAGCTTGCCCTTTAATGAGGATTCCTTTTTGTTTCTACAGCGTTATTGACCGCAACTTCCTTCACTCAATGAAGGAAACCATATCAGAGACAAGACTGTGAGTCCTGGTGACAGCATTTTGTTGAATACGAGGCGCGGGACAGCGAGCACTAAAAAGGTAGGGGAAGTTGGGGCAATGCCGGAGTTGGGGCAAAGCCGAAATTCGAGATATTTCGAAAACCGTAAGACATGGATGCCACCTGTCAGTGATGCTCTGAAGCTTAAGTGACTACAATTATCGCATGTTTGTTACGAGTCGTCATTCGGAATACTTCGACTGTGAGGGCGCCAAGAGCGTTTTCAAGGTACGTTTCCCTTGTACTACATGCGCCTTTGAAGCTGCATTTTTTACTCATTATGCTACCGTTTGTCTGGCCAATTCGGTCAAGTAATCTTTAGCATGTCTTTGCATAAGTGTGCTGCCTATTTGAAATTTATACAGCACGTTGAAAAGTTATGGGCATGCAAATGAAAGTATGGCTGGCTGGGGTAATGCCGAAAACGTGCGATTACGCACGTGTTAAAGGAAATAGTTCACTTTTTAACATGGGTTTTGAACTGGAATAGCAGTTCCGTAGCCTGGGCTGAGACGAGCATAAATCAGGAGCTTTTACAGCCCAACGATCACCCTAGGCAAAGATATTCTATTTCTCGTCCCGAAAAAGGTGTCTTGCGTTGAGGATGTGTGCCTTGCATATATTCGCATCCAGTATGAAAAGAGCATGGGTACCGAAAATTCTTCAGAAACTAGAGAAATTATCTACGAGAACTCTAGAGAAATTCTCGTACTGATCAATAAGGACATTCAGCAGCAGCAGATCGCCCAAATGCCGGTGGCCGCGATCATTTCTCTAGTTTCTGAAGAATTTTCGGGACCCATGCTCTTTTCATACTGGATCGCCTGTGCCTTACAGAAACTGAAAAGTTCTTCTTATTATCAAAATATAGAAAACAATCTTTTGTTATAAATAGGTTTTATTTTCTTTGCTGATCATTTTGAACATAAAAAATCATAAATCCATTGCAAAAAAATAATTTCGTGAAAGTGAACTATTTCCTTTAAAAGCACGCTACGTGGACTTTACTGCTGTAGAATAGCAACGCGTATTTTTAGTCACACAAATTACACTTTCAACCGACACAACGGCCTGTTACCTATAAGGAATGATTTACCTGGCATTTTCTTATTATATCACACAATTATAACTTCCAGTGTGCACCGCGTCCTCAAGCTCTTGAAACGTGTGTCAGCTTTGATGAATTCTGGATAAAGTTTGAGATAAAATGGCAAAACATCAATGTCGGCATTCCCCGTAGATCATTTCTCCCATATTCGGCTTTCCCCGCAGTCCGGGGCAACGCCGAAAAAGTCACTTCTTTGATATTTTTAGTTTGTGCGCTTAACGGTATGCGAATTCATCAAATGCGCCTGGTATGTTTGAAAGGCAAAAGACTGGCCTCTCGAATGACGCCAACAAGAATAGCGTATGTTGTCTACCTTGCGTGCTACGGGCGTCAGAAAAAAAGTCTTCGGCGTTCCCCCAACTTCCCCTATAGGCAATACTAAGACAATACTAGCACGGTGCAGGAGAATGCGTATACAAACGACCAACGCTTGACCTTATCTGCTTGGGGTCGGCATAGTTCGTCAAAGGCGTACTAGCTGGGGGCCAGGGTGACCGACGACCGTGCCTCAGCCTCGGTTCAAACAGGCTGGGGGCCAGCAATGTCTGTTTCTGCCACCTCCCCCTTCCACTTTCAGTGCAGTGGCGGTCGCAGAGGGGGATCAGGGCCATGCCCTTCCCCCCTCCAAAGGCTAATCAGGGGGCCATCATATCATTTGGCCCCCCCCCAAACAACCAATGGGCCCCCATGGGCGTATGGGGCTCTGGCCCTTATTCGATTGTCACGAGACTCAAGAATCCCACGCTAGCTATTAACAGCTCCCAAGGCAGTCTTTGAGGGTCCTACACTGATCTCGGAGGGCCCTTCAGTGGCGGTCAAGCGCCCACATTGACCGCTGAGAACCCACATTGACCTCATTTGAGGGCCCCTAAACCGGCCTCAAGGGCCCAGCCGGCGTCTGAGGGCCTCACACCGGTCTCTGGGGTCCCAAGACTAGCCTTTAGGTGCCTTTGAGGGCCCCGCACTGAATTCTGAAGACCCGATGCCGGCCTCTAAGGGTCCGCATCGGCCTCTGAGGGTCCACCTTGGCCTGAGGGGTCCAACGCCGGCCCATGCCGGTCTTTTAGGGCCCCACACTGACCTCTAAGGGCCCATGCTGACCTGTAAGGACCCACATTAGCCTATGAGGCCTTGCACGGGATTCTGAAGACCTGATGCCGGCTTCTGAGGCCCATCTTGGTTTTTGAGGGCCTTCTGCTGGTCTCTGGGTTCCAACACCGGCCCATGCCGGTATTTTAGGGTCCCACATTGACCTCTAAGGGCCCCGCACTGGATTCCGGAGATCCGATGCCGGTCTCCAAGGGTCCGCATCGGCCTCTGAGGGCCCACCTTGGCCTATGAGGGCCCTCCGCTGGTCTCTAGGTTCCAAATCCCGCCCATGCCGGTCTGTTACGGCCCCACACTGACCTTTAAGGGCCCATGCTGGCCTGTAAGGACACGCATTAGTCTCTGAGGGCCTTGCACTGGATTCTGAAGACCCGATGCTGGCCTCTAAGGCCCATCTTGGTTTTTGAGGGTCTTCTGCTGGCCTCTGGGGTCCAACACCGGCCCATGCCGGCATTTTAGGGTCCCACACTGACCTCTGAGGGCCCATACTGGCCTGTAAGGACCCACATTAGCCTCTGATGGCCCAAGTCGGCATCTTAAGGTCTCATCCTGCCCTTTGCAGGCCCTGTACTGGTCTCTTAGGGCCTAAACCCTCGCCGGCCGGGGGGGGGGGGCGGGTGCCGCCCCTCCATAGGTTTTTTTTTCGCGATAGCTCCGAACACGCCGGCGATAGAGAGCTGAAGCTTGGCATACCTGACCTTTGAATCAAACGGGATCTTTTGACACCAACCGCATTTTCGGGTCAGATCAGGTCACTGACCCATGTGGTCATAAGTGAACCTCTGCACGGTCTTCAGATGTCGCAACTTCGCAACGCCCTCACTGCCAGAGGAGATTTCACAGGGAAATGAACCTTGGAGGACCTAGTATCCAATAGGAGTCTCTCAACTTGTATAATGTAGTATATCTCGGATTTTTCCTAAAGTTCATATGAGGTCAGGTCATTTTCGTGACCTCACCATTAGGTATAAGTCAATGGGGATAAACTGAAAACTTTTCTGGCGCCGGGAACGATCGATCTCCAACTATCTCAAGCACACCGAATCGTGATTTCATGCACTCCTTGCAAGGTTCGATGCGTCACTTTTGCAATGTTGACCTTGCGCGACGTCGTTTATGAAGTTATAAGGGTCTTATTAGTTTTTCGTCAATAACTAGGTACCGATCAAATTGAGCTAGCGAGTCGGGAAAGCCACCTATGGACTCAAGAAGACCTGCCGAATCGAATGATATGCGACATGACCTCCTTCGACCAATTTCGTGACCTGGGGACGCCGACCTGACCGTGACCCGAGGTCAACACCCTAAGTTTACCTCACCCAAACAAAAAGTATATCATTCGACGCGCCTGAGAGAGGCGAACACGATGCTGGCAAAATCGCGGCTCTGCGGCCATTTTTTTGCGAAGTTATTCACCAAAAACGGAACCGTGCCTTGAGGCACTTGACCTGACCTCAGAGGTCACCGGTTTTTGTTTGTTTTGTTGGGTTAGGCCCTTTTGGTCCAATGAGACCATTTCAGAGCCGGAAGGATGATAGGATATAGGGGGAGACATTGGTCTGGGCAGGCACCCTAATGAGTCGCCGGGGCTGAGCCCGTCCAGAGGACAGGCCACCCAGCCCCAAGGCACTCACTGCACCCGGCTACGGGGTGCGCTCCCTCGGGTGCAGCGGTGCCGCTCCAAGGGAGCAGCCCGCATGAGATAAAGTTGCCTGTCCAGCCCGGAGGGGGTTGCGGCGTGGAGGAGAAGGATTTCAGTGTCCTGAGGATAGAAGCACGGAACGGTGTCAGAGGTCACCGGTTGACCTAGGACCATAAAATCGGGTACCGATCTCTGCGTCTCGTAACGGCGCACACGCTCGTTTTACCGCGACGCGCTAGCTCCACGTGGGGCGAAACGGCGAGGGGGGTCGTACCCGCCCCCCGCCCCCTCGGCCAGCGCGTATGTAGAAAACCTATAGGACCGAGCCGTGGAGGGTTAAACTGGCCTCTGAAGGCCCAGACCGTCTAAAAGTCCCAAACCGGCCTCTGATAAGTGATAGTCAATCAGCCCAGTTGCAGTGGTCGCTGATATAAAACCTCTTAAAAACGTTATAGGCCTGGCTGAGCCTAGCTGGGCCGTTCATGCTGATCTTTATAGGTATATGGAAAAGACTCGCTTTGCACGTTTCACGCTTGCTCGTAATGAAAAAGTTGCTGGATGCCTCTGGAATTTGCATGGGTGCCAACGGCTGCGGAGGACAGGGGAACGCGTCCATCAGTTTGAGTTTATGGACGGGAGACTCCCTGAAATTTCAACCAATTTTTTTCTTTTTTTGTCATTTTTTTTACCTCTGAGCATGTTTGCGAAAACAAAGTGGCCGAAATCCGAGGAGAAATCGGATTTTGGGGGTAGGTTAGGTTTTGGACCTCTGGGACCCTGGCCCCCCCCACTTTCGAAAACGTTCCTACGCCTATGCCTCTGTGACCTGACCTGGTATCAGTGACCTCAAATAGCAGAATACCTATGTGTTTGAAGAACATTTCCCCATCGATGATTTTCATTGAAATGCATTTTACTCGATTTTACAACGCATTTCTTGAAATGTCTGAAAACGGTGAAAATTCGACCTTTGACCTGACCTGTGATGTCATCGGTTTGACCTAGGTCAATAAAATTGGGTCACAAGGTAGTTCCCTGATGGGGCTATCCAACACCGTTTGAAGCTTGTCGCTAGGTTGCGTGGTTCTCGAGATCTTGGGAGGGGGCAAATTGCCCCCCCCCCCCAGCAGGGCGCGTTGCTCGGCAGACCCCAACGGGGCGCGGGTTAATAGCTTATCAAAATAATGGCCGCAAAGCCGCGATTTTGGTATCATCGCGTTTGCCTAGCTCAGGCGCATCGAATGGTATACTTTTTGTTCGGACGAGGTTATCTTAAAGGGACCCTCCCACCTTAACATTAGTTTTGAGTTGAGATAGCCAAGTTTGCGGCCAGGCTCAGAAACCACCATTTATCCTGGTCGCAACCCCCGCAGCTTTATGGTGTTCAAGAAATTTCTTCCCTTTACTTGCAGGGTGGGACCAGCGTGGTCCCTATCTCTTAACCATTACGGGAATCTGATGACGTCATCAGGCTTTCGAACGTCCGTTAAATTTTTGACTAAAACGTTTTGTAGCACGCGGTGGTATATGCTGCTTTGCGCGCAACAAATGCCGCACTTTCAAATAAAGTCGCTAGGAACAGCGGAGATCCCAAAAAGTAAACAAAAGTAAAAGTCTAATATCTTGAAAACCGGTGAATATTTTTCGATGAAATTTGGTAGATATTCGTTTTTGCTCTTTCTGAACCGAGCGACATCACTTTCATGCCAATTCATTAACTTTTTTGAAGGTGGGAGGGTCCCTTTAAAGTGTTGACCTCGGGTCAAAGTCAGGTCAGAGCCCCTGAAGTGACGGAAATAGTCGAAAGACGTCATATCGCATGTCATATCCCGTCAGTTGCTGGGGTATTCCGCCACCCCCTGTTTGCTTGGGGGGGGGCGTTGATAAACGCCCCCAGCCGACAACTCGACTTCGAGAACCAATAGGCGCAGCGAAACGCACGAGACGGCAAGCGAAATAGCATTACCTGTCTTGCGACGATATAGCATTACCTGTCTTGACATTGGGGAAAGGGAACTTGCTTACTCGGAAACTTTTGACATTTTTACAATAATTAAAGGAATTTCACCGAAGTTGATTTTCGACTTAACCTGATTTACCTACAACCTAATCTAACACTCCTTAATGTGTAGCACAGCCCTCTCGGTAGCTGCCACCTGCCGGCATAACCCTAGCGTGCGCACCAGTGCCAACCCTGGGCTGCGTGACAGGAAGCGTGATGTCAATGCACTCCCGCTTGGCGAGTGATGAAAATGCTGCTTTCACCTCTGGCTCTCGGCGGCGTATTGAAGTGTACTCGTATATCATAGCACTGTGTGAATGTATCCGATCCGATACTTATAACGGCAATCGGAAAGAGAACCCAAGTCCCTAAGCACTTAAAAAAGACGGAGGCAGCGCTGAGCCGGCCCAAGCTGTGCGTCAAGTGAAATGACGGGGGTTATCTCTGTCGAGCATATTCGTCCTTCGTTAGTGTTACAAAAAAACCTTACCAAAAGCATAAAAAGGCGATCCTCTGTCCTCAGCTGTACATTTATTTCCAATCATATCGCGGCTTGCGACAGACATTCCTAAAATGCCACCAATACACACTCAACTAGGCACTCAACTAGGGCTGTTACAGTGCCCACTATCAACAACAGGCCAAGAAACACGAGTAGTTCATGCGACAAAGATGGGGTTTAACACAACATATTACAAATCGCCATTGGGGATGTCGTATGCGACACGTCACGCACGCAATGCGTCACAATAGTGCCAAACAACGGTACGGTATACAGACAATATGGACACTCTTGTGCTGCGGCCACACCAATTGACGACGTGTCATGGTCTATACAGATGAGTTAGCAATCAGCATGTCCTCCCATAAAACGTCGCCCCGTCGAAAATAAGAAATGAAAGTCGTAAGACCCGTCACAGCGACATCGTTTTTGGCAGACGCTTGAAATCAGTGAATGACAAATGAGCAATAAGTGGCAATTGATTACAAGAAGTACATAGAGCAAAAGGACGTTAGCAGTTACAAATCGCGAGGTAGGCATTACGAGACATGTGAGGCGTTTCAACATAATCTCCGTTTCCGATTGTTCTGTTACACCTTGTGATGTCACATCTGTCCTGAGATAAGCTGTGTACACAACTACGCACAGCCTTTCTCATGTGAAACTCAGTACACAAAACAAACAGTACACAAAACAAACGATACACAACCATAAAACAATACATCCCTAAAAAAGCAGCTTACACAAAGGGTCCGTTTTCTGCTAAACGCTCACAACTCCACGACATGAGTCGCGTGATTTTGCACAACACGAATCCGCTTTATGCGTGTTACAGAGCACAGACTACCTACCTATACACCTCATCAAGGGAGCCTAGCCTACCAATCAACTAATACAACACGGGTTCGAGTAAAAGTTCGCATAGCAAACACAGAGTATTTACAACACCCTTTCTCGCTGAGCGTTTTGTTCAACACAGGCGATAGTCTCGTGCCTGACAAGATCCGCAATCAGTAGCCAGGCAGTTCTCAGCAGCTTGGGTCATGTCGACTTTGGCCAACCTTCAGAAAACGGGCTTGTACGAAGTGGCGGTCACAGCTACAACGAAGAGCTTTCAACCTTGCAGGCAACTAGCCAATAGGACCTTAGTGTCTTCTAAGAGTCCGCCCACCTCTACACTCTGGTTTACCTGACAGCGTATCCGACCCTAAGTCCTGCTCTTGCTGATTCCAAGTTCACCTCTACATCAAAGTTCCGCCAAAGACGAGCTCGGTCGAACATTTCAGGCTTAGTGACTACCCACTTGGCTGGTGACAGTCTGTCAAACAATCCTAAAACGAGAGTGGCAATCCAAGACACCCTGCTCTTGATGACAATCATATTTTCTCCCCTTGGTGACGATCCTCTCCTCTTGCGCTCTTGGTGAAGATCATCCCAAACTTGTTGAACGTCACGCTGCCCTTCGCGACGATCCTCCTGGATGGCGGCCCTGCTGCTCTTGGCGCCAGTCCTACATCCTGGTCTTGGTGACGGTGAGCCCGCTGCTGTCCGTGTTGACGTTAGACTCGGTGAGACTCCTCTCCCCTCCACCGGACGTCCAGCTGGCCGCCGCTCGAGACACCTTGTGACGCACCTTTTCCGCCAGAGTGAACGACACGAAGATGAAGACTCCCTGAAGAGTGTTGAGCACCACGAAGGCGTACCAGAGAGGCGGGAAGTCAAGCCAGCCGGCCACCAGGCCGACCACCCAGGACAAGCCCATGATGACGGCGAGGCGGGAGTAGAGACGCAGGTTCACCTGGGGAAGACAGAGACAGAGAGGTCAGGGTTGGTGAAATCATGACAGGCATCCGCATAGACGTGGGGTCACCCAAGGGGAGGGCCAGAGAGGTTAGGGGATTCAGGGGGAAGTTCGGGAAAAAGTACAGTTATGACAGGCTTCGATTACAGAAGTGACTGTGAGCTCGTCTCGGGAAGGACAGAGGTTATGAGATCAAGGGTGGGGTCAGAGGGGCAGTACAAACACAACAGGGCTCGAGTAAGGACGCAGGTTCGCCTGAGGGGCGACCGATATGACAGAGAGGTCAGGAAGGTCGACGACAAGGTCAGGGGGAGGGGTGCACTTAAGACAAGGTTAGAGTAGAGACGTGGGTTTCTCAGGGAAGGGACAGGGAGACCAGACCAGTCCAGGGCAGTGCAGGGCAATGGATGGCAAGGGGCACGGCACGGGAGCTCCCAGAAATCCGTCAAGCGCAGGATCAGGTTATTTTTTTTTGAAGGGGAGGTCAGAGAGGTCAGATCAGGCTTCGGGTAGGCTCACATACATATGAAGAATGGGTACCTACTTATCTATGACCCTGTCACTTGCTATCCCGCGCCCGGCTGGGGGTCCTGGATTTCCACGCCCTGCTGGGGGGGGGGGGGGGGTGTTTGAACACCCCCCCTTGTAACTCGGCTCCTGGGCCACGTAGCGATACGCGGAAGGCGGCGTTCGAAAGAGCGTAAAAAATAATGACGAAATCACTTCGGTCAATTTTTTGGTCAGGTCAAAGGTCAGGTCACCAGAGGTCATTGAAGGCAAAATTTCGCCGATTTCCAGGTCGAATGTCGACAATTTCCAAGAAGCCCACGCATAACTCGGGAACTAATAGAGCTACAGCGCCGAGGAAAAGCGCATTCGATAGCCCTATTAACGCCCTTTCTGAGTAATCCTCTCAGATTTGACCTAACGTCAACGGTTTTGCCTGCAGGGGGCAAAAACTGCAAAAATAGCCGATTTTTTCGAAAACAGTTTTTCTGCAATAACTTTTGACCCAAGCCTTGTACGAGCTTACTGTTACCGGCATCGTGTTCCTCTCGTCAAGACGCATCGAATGAACTATAACTTGACCTTGAAAGGTCAACTTGAAAATTTGACCTCAGGTCAAGGTCATGACCTGACCGGAAAGGGTCATGTTGCATATCAGTCGATCCGTATCGTCGAGCTGAACACATCTAAGGCGTTTTCATCGCTCTAGCATGCCTCTATCAAAAGTTATTTGCGAAAAACTGTTAGATACCATTCGTGACCTAAGATGACCTCAGGGCATAAACAAGGGTCACGGACACCATTTTCAAGTTCAGTGCGTCTAAACCACTTGTAATTCGGTGTTTGGGAGTGTTTATAATGTCTTTCATCCAAAAGAGGCGCATTTCAATTTTCTCCCATTGACTTATAATGGGCAGGTCGCAAAATTGACCTGACCTTAGGTCATCGATATCAAAATTCTGAGATATACATTTTGTACGTGCTATTGCTCTTAGCAATCGCTGAAAGTTTCAAAGCGATCGGTCACTCGGTGTAGCTATGACAGACATTGAAAATTTTTATGAGGTGAGGTCACTTCAAGTGACCTGGTGACCTGACCTTGAATGACCTTGGTCTGAAAATTTCACAACATGTGTAGAATTGATGTATGATAAGGTGTACCAAAAACGGCGGCGCTCCGCGCCGCCGTTTTTGAGATATTCGCAAAAAACCACAAGGGGGGGTGTTCAAACACCCCCCCCCAGCAGGGCGCGGGCTATTATATCTTAGCTTAGGTACACTGATAACGGCCATTTAGACTGATCTCGAGATACGGCACTAGCAGATTCTAGCTAGGATAACAGGGGCCGTAACAATAGTAATCATCCTCACCTTAGACGGTCCGCAGGTCATGCTCTGCGTCGAGCGAGTCGTCTCCCTGATCATTAGAGCGCTGGAGACGAACAGCACCACGTTGATGCCCATCACAGCCGCCAGGGGTACCGCAAAGAACGCCATCAGCGCCCTCCGACGGCTGAACCAGCACACTCTGTCTCCGAATCCGGGCCGATAGGCGGCGGGCGTGGAGCCACCGTGTTCAGCGATCATGGCGGCTGCGAGCACAGCTGACGTCATCAGCGTGACGTAGATTGTGTACAGCAGGAAACGGCCAAGGTGTCGGCCGCTGGCGACTCGCAGCTCCTTCGTGGCTTTCCTGTGAAGACGGGGGGGGGGGGGGGATGTCAGTGGGTGGAGGTCCTGGTCACGGGGAGAGGGAAAAGAGGTCAAGACGGGAAGAGACGAAGGAGGACGAATGCATACATACGTATGGGTGGAATGATAGTGATTGCCTATCAACATTCCATACACAAGAAACCTGGTAGGTAAGATACAAAAAACGGTTTGTCAAATTACTCTTGTGGATGTTACAATTCATCATTAGTTTTGATTAAAGGCTGTCATCACTCATCAGTCACCATTCTTTTCACCGCGATAACATCAGATTGGATACGTTGGATTCTATTGAAAGCACAAGATCGGATACGTTCTGTCTTATCGATAATCAGATCAGATAGTCTGGTTTCATCAATAGCACTAGATCACATAGGTTTGTTTCACTGATAACAAAAGATTGGAAGCGTTTTGTTTCATTGATAACATAAGATCGATTCATTTTTGTTTCATTAATAACACTGTTCGCCAGATTGGAAAGGAATAGTTTTAGGTATCTTTCAGCTTTGATCAGGTAAGCATGGTCTTTTCAATGCATGGATCGGATGCGTTTGTATCGAAGGTTTTTATGATCAAAGGTCACTTGAACGCACAACACGGTATGTGATCAGATGTTTTTGCACATGTTTTTATGATCACATCAATATCAGTTTGTTAAAAATGGATGTTAAATTCCATCCTTTAATATCCGGCGAGAAGGATGGAACTTTTGGTTCTAGCACGCAGGACCCAGCCGATCGAAAGGCAAAGGTACTAAGTCACAATATAACGGATAGCAGCGTAGGCTCTCTTCTCAGGTTTAGCAATAGCAGATTCTATCCTAAGTAAATCATGCATTAGCAGCTTCAAATGGTATAAATCAGTCGTTACGCGTCTTCTCTCATACACTTCCGCAGCCAGTAGCGGCGGAACACCTTCAATTAGGGGGGGGGGGGACACTGCCGACTTTTGGTCCCATTCTTTCCATGCGACGCCCATAGGGCTAATGTTAAAATGCCAAAATCAAAGGGGGCACGGTGCCCCGGTGCCCTCCCCGTTCCACCGCCTATGTCCGCAGCACTAAGATCGCGTTCAGAAACTTGAAATTTTCAGTGGACATCAAGAAAGGATAGAGAAGCAGCTATACGAAAAATCAGCCTTCTAGCTTTAAAAATTTCGAGTGCAGAGCAGAAAGACTACCTGGGGGGGGGGGGGGGGGGTGGGGGGTGGGGTGGGGGTGGCAACCCCCCCCCATGTGCGGGCGAGGGTTAATGAAGTGACTGTTCAGGGAGGCGGGGGCGTTTGTAGCTATGCACTATGCAGGGTTTGTTGACATTTCTGACGCATTGGCAAATTGAGAATTCTCACAATTGGGTGCAAAACTACGAAATCACCAATTAACGAGCCGTTTTCGTTCTTTCTCACCAGGCTAGTGATTAAGGATTATCAACATCAGCTGTTTGCTTAGTTTACCTCATCGGGGACATTTGATGACGTCATGTATGGGCGTCACCAAAGCGTCCCCAGCTGGCGCCTTAGTGTGAACTATAAACCCGCTGCCACCGTTTGGTTTCGACCGTTAGCAGGGGATGGTTTGTGTAATGTCTATTGATTCAGGAGCCGATGAGCTGTTAAACTGCAACTCTCAGGGGGTGATGACGTCATTTGCCAGCGGTTGATTAGGGACGGGTTTCTTAGGAAGGGAGCAGACCCGTGGAATGACGCTGGCACGGCAGAAACGAGGTGTGAAAGGCAAACAGCTACTGCGCTGCAGGCTGCATGGCGGCCAGAATTGTTTGTATTTTACAATGTCAACTTGTAATAGAGGTTCGGTCGAAATACTGTCCTTCAAAATGCGTGATATGCATGTCACACGGTGTATAAGTAGTCTTATCTGCAATATGTACGAGTGATATGTGAAGTTTTTCATATTTACATTTTGTTTAAAAAGGTTTGCAAACTTTCTCAGAATGTCACAAATTAATAAAAGCAGGTAGTCCTCCGGATCACCTTAACGAGAGTTGCGCTAGCAATGAGGCTATAGCGTAAAATATAATATCGACGTTCCGGTTCGTTCAACGAAATAGGCATGTGAGCGTTGCACAACACGAACACTTGCTTCCCCATTTCTAGACTTACATCATTATCGGCTGCACCCCTTCATTCTAACACCACTGTCATCATCATTTTAAGTTCCCGCCACTCCATTTTAATGAGCCTCAATTGAGTGAATTCATCCGTTGAATTCAAAGCAATTCTACTACTCGTATAGCTGCAGCCCTCAATGTCCTGTGCACTGTTAACTTCGTGAAGGGTGCTCGTGCCGTGCCTTTGTCACGTGCCTCTTGGGACAGCGTCCCGCTTCCCAGTGCCGCCACTTGCAGCGTCACTCCGCGTGCAGTTTCCGCGAGTTAGGCGTGGGACCACGCCAGGTGGCCTGCAAGGGGTACAGTTTCGCACAAGCCATGTGGTTCAATGATACTGCATGGGAAGTCCGGGGGCTTGAATGGACTAATGGTTTCAGTGACAAAAGTTATTGCGACGAAAAGGAATAAGACAGCAGTAGCTCGCAGTTCGTTGTCGTATTATCTTGCTGCATTTAATTTAAAAAAGCGAAACGTGCTCAAGTGGTAACTCGCTTTCACTGAACCATATTTCGATTTATTTTTAACTGTTCCAATATGCCGAATTAGGTATACCGTTCTATTTTGTTGTCTGTCCGGCACCTAAACTTAAATGAAGCCAAACTTTCATAATAGTTTTTGCATGACATGACATGAGTAAACTAAGATTCAAGTGTGCCATGGGAGGCAAAATGGGATACGTATGATTGACCGATTCAAATTCAAATTCAAACATTGTCGAGTGTTTGTAACTCTTATCGTTGTACTGGCATGTCAATCGGCCCTAACCCTGGTTATCAATGACAAAAGCTACACTAAAATAAACTTAATCCACCAAACGTTTCAAGGAATTACTTTGCTATCGGCATACCTTGGATCAGATTGAACGGTTCGACGCCCTGACGTAGGTTATGCAATTTCTTGGCACAGGCCGTTGGCCACGTCACTCAAGCACTGTATTTACTCTATCGCGTGCCGGAGTTGGAGGAAAAGAATGACGCCTACTGAAAGTCCGGATTATATCTTTCAGACTTCCGACCATGCGGAAAAATCTCGCTGTAGACAAAAATACATCTAAGTGACGTAGGTTTCGATGCTAATCGTTACAGTGTGTGGGTAGGTAATTTCCAGCAGACTTTCATCATATCCCGGACAAATTCGATGTAGTTTGAGTTGATGGTGTTTCAGCAGAAACGGTTAAGCCCTTGGGGAAAAAAAACTGATTTTTGGTTTGGAGATATGACCTCGTTTTTCAGGTCATGTCATGACCCAAATGGCCAATTCTCAACATCTTGCGTTTGCTATGGGCCTTGTGAGCTTTTGACACCTCGATTTCGGCCTTTTTTGCCAGTCTTACCTCCCACCTGTCATGGAACATGTTGTTCGACGATGTACAGGTGTCAAGGTCAGGGTCAAGGTCAACCTAGGTCATCGAAGATAATTCCGTTTTAGGCAAGCTGAATTTACTTTTTGTGAAGTTTTTTGACTGCATTTTTGGTAAAAGCTTCTCAGATCATGATTTCATGTAATATGGACACATAAACAATCGGTGCACACCTCAGTATACACACAGACACACAGACATACAAACACATATAATTGACCTTGACCTAGCTTGACCTGAAATGACCTCAGCAGTAAAAATCTGGTCGGGTAGTGTGACAAAGAGGTTCTAGCTGGTTTGGCACCAGAAAACGGCATCGTCATCGGTATATGATAAGCAGCGCACTTGATATCCAACGGTGACCCAAAACAGCAACATTTTTTAGTTTGACCTGACCTGGAAGGTCAATGACTGACCTGAGAAGGTAAAACTGGGTATCATTGGATTCGTCTCTTCCCAAAGAATCTTTTTGTCTTTACCGCTAAGCTCTATCTCCAACAGGAGCGAAATGGCACGGGGGGTGGCACCCCCCCCCCCATGTGCGTTCTAGGATGGGAAAATGGCATGTGCGGGCGAGGGTTAAAAAATCTGAGGTAAGGTGCATTAGCTTTAGATGCATATCCGCATCGAATATGTAATGTGGTTACATTTTCTTCCTAAAAAAGTCCTACCTTAGATCAAATCGATGTCTGTTTATGCTATGAACTGACTGACCTACCATGTTTAGCGCAGATAGGTAATCTGATGCTGAAGGGAGAAAATGGCCTCACCGATTCTGGGTACCATTACTGTTCAAAGGACATAAATAGTGGGTTGTGCCTTTTACGTCTCATGCGGGCTTATACGTCTAGCGCATCCCAAACAAACTGGATTCCAGCTTCAAATTTGTCCTGAGCCTCAAATACAGGATTACAAAGCTGTATATTGCGGAGAGAGCCGGGCACTGATGATGATCGCCAGTGCTCGTCTTACTGTCGATCGTAATATTCCGTGGAACACTTTGAGAGCCAAATCAAGTATAACTGAGAGCCGTTACACTTAGGAATATTCCTGCCTTGTTATGGTTTATAAAATATTGCTGTCGTAAAAGTCAATAAAACCTTCCAGAATGAACCTTCAGTTATCGTAGGTAAATGATACCGCCTTCTCCTTTTTAATTATATGAAGCCTACCGATGGGCTATAGGCTTTGCGCGCATGTCACATTGAAATGAGTGACACCCAAAAAAAAAAAAAAAACTTTTGCTTGCACCTACTTTTTCGTCTGTTAATGCCTAACACGAACGTTTTTCCGTTTTTTTTTTGTCAGTCATGCCTCCGTCAGTTCTTTACAAACTTAGCTAATAGCTAGAGGTGAATTGAAATTAAATGTAAGTTAAAGGTGTACTTAACGAACACTCGCAAAAGCCCGCAAAGGCACTTAACGATATCAGTTCTTATATGCGTCATGAGCCTATTATCTAACTTGGCACAAGTTTTAGAAGTTAAAACCATTTTCCAATCATCCGTCATAATTGCAGCCATGCGTAAAAGTCCTTTTAGCGGTCTGCAAACGGTGTCATCAAAGAACACATTTGTGACACTCAGCATTAGCTTCGTAGAACAAGATGCTTGAATGATAAGAGACTGCAAATGTAAATGCCACTCCAATTAAATCCACGCCTTGTTGGCGGTAAATTCAAAGTGATTGTTTCCCTCGTACACAAATCACCAGCCTACAATGCAGAATAAATAGCTGTTTGTCTAGACGTTTGTTCGCATCTTTAGGATGTTGTGCTTAAGGAACGAGTACGCCACACGGCTTCTATAAATTATCAACAGACAAAGCAAACAATGCAGGCAAGACGGTATGAACAGTTAAACTAAGCGTGAGCGCCTGAGCTGTAAGTTCGTATTTCACCTTCTCCTGCCCCAGTTACGGCAATTTTCAATTCATTTACCTGATGAGACTTAGCAGCTGTCAAAAACATCATTTAACACTAGAAACATCCAAATTCTAAATCTGTCAGCGCCCTCAACTCACCTGAGCGTAGTGAACACGTCGAAGGCCATGATGTTCATCCAGAAGAAGGAGGCGATGAAGGCTGCGTACATGATGACGGCGAGGGCGGCACAGCCGGGCTCTCCGGGATCCTGGCTCGGCATCACCAAGAAGCAGATGTAGCCCACCAAGAGGCAGACGCTGAGGGCCGCCAGGTTCTTCCCCGACAAGTTCCGGATCTCTGACACCAGACAGAAGGCCAGGAGGTGAAGGGTGAGGCAGATGACTGAAGCGGCCAGGCAGAGAAGAGAGATGTAGGAGAGAGCCTGGTCGAACTTGCTGAGGTCGGCTGACACGGCACAGATGACCAGTTCGCCGTCACGGAGTTCGAACTGACCGGCAGAGTAGGTGCGGTCGTATAGCGGGACGTACACGGTCGAGTTGTCCCGCACCTCGAAGTCGGAACCGTTCAGGAAGTACTTTGGACACAGCAGGAACTCTGTGGCCTGTGTCGCGTTCGAAATGGGTCGCTCCAGGTCAGTGGTATTGGTGCTGTCCTCGTCAGTATCGGTGACGTTGAAGACCTCCACTTGGACACACACTCCATCGCGAAGAACGAAGCCTGCAGCGTCGCAGACAACATCGCGGCACATCTTGAAGAACGGGTCCCAGAGCTGCGTATCAGCACAGACGGTCACCGCTCCCACTTCCTCACTTCCAGAGCGGTCGCCAACATCCATCAGGATGGCGAAGGACCGTGTGTTGAAGCGGTTGCCGAAGTTCCTCGAACGCAGCATAGGTCGACGCATGCAGTCGATGTCTCTCGGAGGAAGGTGGTTGCAGAGGGCGCAGTGCGGGTTGCGGTACACCTCGTTGTCGTAGTCGTAGACGTAGGCGGTGTAGGCGCCACAGAGATCAGCAATGCCAGGATCAGTCCAGTTGGACGCGCAGGACGAAATGCTGACGCGGCATCGACGCAAGAGGAACTCGATCGTCTCCGTGAAGAACGGATCGAGTTCACACTCGTGGAACGTCTCGCGATCTCCTTCGCCGATGGTGATGCCCCACTGTCCCAGGGAGTTCTGCTGGAGATTCTCCATGGTGAACGCGTCCGTCACGTTCAGGTCATCCCGTATCTGAGACGTCAGCGTGGGGCACTCGACGCGCGTGCGCCAAAACTCCGCGCCTTGAACGTCGCCGTGACACATGGCGCAGTAGTAGTTGCGGTAGGTCATTCTCGAGTTCGCGCTGGTCACGGGCAGTGCACCGAACGGGTCCTCAGAAAGCGAAGGAGGTTCGGCGCAGCGGCGCGCCACTCCGGCATCCGACCAGTCTGAAGGACACGAGGACACCATGTATATCCCGTCGTAGTGTCTCAAGACGTGGCAGGTGATGTCGTCACGGGACTGGTTGCCGGCAGCAGGAGCATCACGACAGCAGTCTCCGTAAGTGCCGCACTCCAGGTCACAGAGACAGCCTCGCTCTTCCCATGATTGCTCAATACGCGGTCGTTTCTGGTCGAGCAGGCAGAGATGTTCAGCCTCACACCTCTGGGTGATGTTGCGCTCTGCTAGGTCAGCAGTGATACGCGCAGAGAGAAGAGCAGCGTCGGAGGAAGCGGACGCCGCCGGCACGTTCAACACTATCGTCAGCATCAGCTGTAGCACCACGAACGACGCAACCAGCGGCTTTCTAAGTCCCACACCACACAAACCGTCCACCGACATCGTCCTCTTCACCGAACACCGTCCACTCGATGTCCCAGTCGTCACCGAATCACCCGATCGTCCACTTTTCCACCGAACGTCCGCCTCTGTCATTGTTCCACTCACTGGTCCACACGACGCGTCCGGACACACACCGGAAACTGTCGGCCGTTCACACTCGCTAATTGTCACCAACTGTGTCAATGACACCGGTGGTTGTGTCAGTGTCAGTGACACAGCCTGTTCACGGAGCAGCGGCAGCACCTCTCACCGGGGCCGGATTGAGGACACAGGAAGCGCCCCAGACGGAAGCCGAGCTTTACGACCCACGCGGTCCACTGGACGCCGATCCACTGCCCCGTCCTGGTCCAGTCTGCTTCACGGCACTCCTGGCACCCACTCCGGGTCACTTCACCGCCCCGGGGCAAATCTCAGACCCAGGTCAAGGTCACCACCAGTCCGGAACGTTCGCGACCTCACGAGATGTGGCGCAACACTGAGTCAGCAAAACTGAGAGCGACTCAAACACAGCCCCGCGCGGACAACGTTAGAACGAAACTGCCGCGGCCGGCGCCCGGGCGACTACTTTCGCTCTTCGAGTCTGGAGCCGCCGTGACGTCACGCCAGATACGACCGCTGATTGGTGGACGCCGGAGACTGCGTGAGGGAGCCGGGAGGGCCAGGACGGGAAACAGGATGTCAACAGGGAGGGGAGGGGAGGAGAGAGGAGGGCGAAGGTCACCGGACGGCGTCGGGAATGTCGGGATCCCCAGCTCCTTCCCGGGTCTATGGGGTGCTTTGTCCAGTGGCCCAGTTTCCAGTGGTTTGGGTTCGGCAAAAAGTTCGGCAGCAGGGACGGGGGACTGGTCCTAGCAGTTACAGATGTAGTAAAAGTCTTCGGGCCCTCAAATAAGCGGTGCAGTTTGAGTTGAGACAATGGATATTTCTAATCATACCCTGGAAGTCAGAATTAACCCTCTTTTTGCCCAGAAATTCCACCGTATACAAAGCGCTAAAAGAAGATCCAGTGACTCAAAAAGGAAAACTAATTCAATTGTCTTCTCTCCTCAACACTGCACTTACAGACGCTGGGATTATTCCAGTGTAAATACACATAGTATACAGTATCACATCATGCATGTTCGGTTGGAATTGATGTAATAGCAAAGTAAAATGTTGACCCTGCTACGGGATAGGTACGGTGACGGGCGAGCCTAGATCGACCGAAACCGATATGAAATTCGTTACATTTAATCAAACACATAGACGTATGCCTAAATCAATATCGAAATCATTGATAGTCTCAACTTCTGCCAGATCGTTATACACAAAACGACTACGACGGTCCGAGGCACGCCAAGTCGGCGCCCTTTCAGCGGCTCCCGAGAAGCATGTCCTTACCGCTCTAGAAAATATCCTCTCTCACTTCAAGGTCGAACGTCAGTTCAAGCATTCCCGTCTCCATCCTTGCGAGCCGGCATTAATTAATCTTGTGCACGAGAGCTTTGCACGAGCAGCGTTGCACCTTGCTTGCACATCACGTGGTTCGTGCATACTGCAATGGAAGTGAATGCGTGGGCAATGTGGGCGTAGCACTTTTTGCGGATATTCGATTACAGAAGCGAGCGGAAGAAAACGAAAGTCGACGAGCAGGATTCTCTGATAAAATGTTAGCCGTAACTGAAGAGTATCAGAGTGCGCAATAGTTATAGATGGTTCTTTCGCGAGGTCATTTCTGATCTGACAGTAGCTTTGTGGGCTACGAATGCACTCTCCATTTCATCGATTTCATCAAGCAATAGACTAACAAAATATATATTAGCATGCATCTGCTCAAACATTTTACCAAATTCGTAGATTCGCTAGGCTACGGTAAGTTGTTGAATTCGCTAGAGCCTATACATATTGCATCCCAATCATTTGACAGATTTTTTTTACCAGATCGGCTCAACGTTGTCACCAACGTTGTCTGGCGCATATAGCTAGTTGTAAATTGTTTTACCAAGGAAAGCTCTTTGTTTCACCTTCTTCGAACATTATCACAATCAAAAATCCATATAAGCATTATCGCTCAATAGTCACAAAGACAGCACATACTAATGACAAGTAGGATCCTGTCTCAAAGTCTGTAGAAAACGACATCGCCGCTTGTCTATCCAGGTCAGTGGCTCCCCCGGCATTCTCAGACGGTGATTACCTCGGGCACCGGCCCCGGCAGCGTGGTCGAGCCCAACCGCCCCGCTCGTCAGGTAGACGATGCTGGTCCCGCTTCGCCACCCCTCGCTGAACAGGCTTCACTGTGGTACGTGTGGTCATGAGCGCATTCAGTTCAGTCTTGTATACTTATACTAGGCGCATTCGTAGCACAAGACAACGGTTGGGCTATGTGAGTTATGCTCATGGAATTTTAGGGAAGGGTTCGTTGTGGCTCCCCCCCCCCCCCTAAAAAAAGACGACGACGAAATGTCGAAATGTGGTGTCTGATTGGCTGACCCCAGAATTTTACCTGCTGCTACTTACCGACTATCGAGAATACCTGGAGCTGGCTGTTATCATCGAAATGACCGGCTGATCGGCACCAGCAAGTCATAAGCCTACGTAGGGTCAGGCCTCTTTTCGACATTCGTGTCGGTAAGACCCAACTAATGTGTTTAATCTAGACGTTTACCTTAGGCCAGACTCGATTCTAGTTCAGATCCACTCGCTCTGACAGCCTAACATCCACATGCGTGCGAGTGGAGCTGACGAAGGTTTGCTGGTTTGATTGGATACGTGCGAACCAATTGACAGACACAATACGGGTAGCGCCTCGCCGTGGGAATGAGATTTGTGAACCGCATCTAGGCAGCTACCGTAGCGGAAAATATGCGCCGCAGGAGCGCCAGGATAGAAACGTCGACGGCTCTTCGGGTAAAATCCGCTCAGGTATCTCTTTGTTATGAAAGTGGACTTGAGACCACAGGCCTTCATGGTATCGTCAAGGGACCTTATTGAGCGAAAGTATGAGATTTATTCCTCTGCAATGGCTGCGTCTTGCAATGCGATGTCTTGTCATGTACTAGGCTCTGCAGTCTGCATGCTCACTACTTTTGTCAGAAAAGATGGGTTTAACCCTCGCCCGCACATGGGGGGGGGGGGTTGCCACCCCCCCAGGCAGTCTTTCTGCTCTGCACTCAACATTTTTAAAGCTAGAAGGCTGATTTTTCGTATAGCTGCTCGTCTATCCTTTCTTGATGTCCACTGAAAATTTCAAGTTTCTGTGATTTTTGGTTTCGGAGATATGACCTTGTTTTTCAGGTCATGTCATGACCCAAATGGCCAATTCTCAACATCTTGCGTTTGCCATGGGCCTTGTGAGCTTTTGACACCCTGATTTCGGCCTTTTTTGCCAGTCTTACCTCCCACCTATCATGGAGCATGTTGTTCGACGATGTACAGGGGTCAAGGTCAGGGTCAAGGTCAACCTAGGTCATCTAAGATAATTGCGTTTTAGGCAAGCTGAATTTACTTTTTGTGAAGTTTTTTGACTGTATTTTTGGTAATAGCTTCTCAGATCATGATTTCATGTGATATGGACCCAAAAACAATCGGTACACACATCAGTATACACACAGACACACACAGACATACAAACACATATAATTGACCTTGACCTAACTTGACCTGAAATGACCTCAGCAGCAAAATTCTGGTCGGATAGTGTGACAAAGAGGTTCTAGCTGGCTTTGCACCAGAAAACAGCATCGTCATCGGTATTTGATAAGCAGCGCACTTGATATCCAACGGTGACCCAAAACAGCAACATTTTTTAGTTTGACCTGACCTGGAAGGTCAATGACTGACCTGAGAAGGTAAAACTGGGTATCATTGGATTCGTCTCTTCCCAAAGAATCTTTTTGGTCTTTACTGCTAAGCTCTATCTCCAACAGGAACGAAATGGCGCGGGGGGGTGGCAACCACCCCCCCCCCCATGTGCGTTCTAGGATGGGAAAATGGCATGTGCGGGCGAGGGTTAAATTTTTGGATGAAAGCGACAGTTCTGTAGTATCTATGAAACATGTTTGCATACATATATTGGATTTATAATACCGAAATGCAGTCTATATTACCGATTATATTGACATTGCCAAGCGTATGTAGGGTAGTGAAAGCCCGAATAAGTGTCTCATGTATAGGCTATAGGCCGAGGCAAAGAAGTCCAGTAGGTGCCACGAGTGATCACTGATCAGGCCTATGGCCGTATCGAAACCGTCATCCAACCACTGCCCCCGGGGCACGCCACGTCACCAGCGCACGTTCTGCGAACCCACTGCTACCCCTGGAGTTCCCATATGGCGGACATGTCACCGGAAACAGGCGACTTTTACAGGCGACCGAGCGCGTGCGTAACGGTCAGGCCGGCATTTTTACTGAGGCTTATTATAGACTTGTGGATATATGTAGGTAGGTACGGCACGTGCTCTTTTGAATGAATGATGAATGAGTGTATAAAATGTCGCTGCATGAAAGCGTTATGCAACATTGTTACATTTTCCCTTATCTGCATGCATGATGATAAAATGTAAATAAGGAGACACCAGAGCATTGTGATGCGATGCGAGGTCACCTTGTTATTGCCAATTGCCGCCAAGGCACCGAAGGTAAAAGAGACTGTCACTGATCTGATCATAGTTCTGGGATTTGACTTTTTGATCAAGGATAGGTGCGAAATATGGCCATGCTCCTTACGATAAAAATCGTATCAAAACTCACCTTCACAGTCTCGCCCGACGCCTGGATGGCTGTAGTACCTAGTAACTGAATAAATAACGATGTTTCAGGGTGCATTGAATATGAGCCCTCAAGCCCCTTGCAATGGCAACTCTGCAAAATGACACATTGCCACGCGGTGATACACAATCTGACACGAAGTGGCACCGACTCGCGGTCAGCCACCTTCCTTCCTGAGCGGATAACCATTCCACGAACAGAATGTTTCGATAGCGACCCCATGTCTAGCTGAGGTTACTGCAACCAATCAACAAAAGCTGACTTCATGGGCTGCAAGGGACTACTTGCTTGTCTTGTTACTGTCAAGTTGTTCGCCATGCCGCATCGAATAGGAGGAAAATGTATCATTGTTACACTAGGCAGACTCTCGATCATTTGCCCTACATTTATTGATGCTCGTATCTTGCCTCCATCATGATCTCACATTCCATGAACAGACGATCAGACTACTGTGATGTATTACGACTCACGCTATTCAGCACCGCGTGAATCGTAATACATTCGAAAATTATACCGCACTCATCCGCTCCAGTTTCTGCCATACGGTGAATCCTGATCACCATGCACGCTCGTGCACTGTGCACTCTGCACCGTGCAACGTCCTGAATCATCCACACAAAGTACCGTTTGAACACGTCATCGCACATCTGCTATATTCAACTGCCATCGCTGAGAGAACGCACCATCCTTCCATCCTTCCTCTCGTCCCGCCCATCCGTCATCCATTTCTACAGCCATCTGGCATCCATTTCCGCGGCCATCTGGCAGCACTATTGCGTCACTGGCAGCATGACGTCACAGACGGACCCATCCAGCGCCGAACCACGCC